CGGCCCTATGTAAAAACAGTGGAAAGTGCGTGCCATGGTATATTTTCGGAAGCATCTCAAGAACCAGCTAATGTGGACTGGGAGTCCATTTGCATCGTCCGATCAGCTGCTACAAGTGCCGTGAGCCAATGGCAAACACGTTTGACAGAGACTACTACCTCTACTGAATGCAACTCTGGCATGGCAGAGATCTACTAGCACGTTATCTTATCTATCAATAGAGTTGTATCCTCGTATGCCTATGTGAAGTGTGAGGTCGTACTGTACTGCAGACGCGTCCTCGACCCTGGTTGGAAATGTACGCAACAGTTCCCACCCTCTTGACCAGAGAGCGCACACACCCTAGGGTTTTGATGGGTTTGTACGACTCCCAGCTCTTGACTTTTGTTGGGTGTACGAGACGCACGCACAGTTTTCGTAGGGTGAGTACTTTTTCATGTAGTACTGAATGCGGCAAGCAGGACTCGCCCATCCGCCCCTCCCCAAATGGATCTACTCGAATGGTTGCGGAGGTAGGGGTGCTCTGGCGGGATTTTACGACACGCACAAGCGCGCACACAATATACACACGCACGCACACATATACACATGGACGCACGCTATGTCGCACGTCTAGGGCATCGCTTCGTGAATACAAGTAATAATTTAATGTTATAATTTATAGTATCCAAATGCTAGAGCAGCTTTACAAAAACCTACCGTTCAATACTGGATCAATTCATCTTGTGACAGCTTCCTTTGCAACACCCATGACTTGACCCCACTTCGTCTTGACGTCAGGAAATCGTTCACACCGGAGTTGGGACACGACTCATTGAAATCCAGGCTTATCTGCTGCTGGGAGCAGGACAGAGCTGATGGACGTCAGCAGCGGCTGTAGAACAACCATAAACGAGTCTTCTTTCTCCGCAGTCAGGCGGGACAGCAGCTTTGCAACGCAAGCTTCTTGCCTTCTGTGGGTCTTTAGCGGCTGGGATTCGGAACGCTCTGTAGAAACCATTGAACAAGTCCTGCACTCTATCAACCCACAAGTATTTCTTCCAATTCATGAATATTCGCAACTTTTTCTGCAGTACGTGCACCAGATCAGAAGCCGCTAAGTAGCAAGGTTGAAAGTTTCAAGACAAATTGAAAAATATAATAACATAGAAAATTAGAATTCAAACCATACCTGTGGCCCAAGCCAACACAGACTGAGCGTTCACGCGAAGAGAACGTAGATCTACATGTACGTCAGCTGAGGTTTCCTTAGGATCAGGAGGTGATTCTTGCCCCGGATCTGGATCGCGATCAGCAGCACTCTCTGCCTCCATCACGATCATCAAATGCAACTAAGTAGTTCATTCTTCTTCTTCTTTTCGAGCTACGATTTCCCACGATCCTATCGATCCTGCACAAGTCCGTTCCCCAAGGAGTGCACTCCCATGGCATAAGTACGCGGAGTAGTTGGTTTATAACTCAGGGCACGCACCGGGGATATCTGAGGGAAAAGTGGGAGAAAGTGCCGCGAGTCAATCATAGTCGGCCCGGAAGGCCTCGTGTCGCCTCCCGACTCCCTGGTTATAATTATACTCTTGATGTCATGTACATGTATGTACCATGGCAGGAGGAATGGCAGGAGGTCACAGCACAGGACAACAGTCACAACACCCACGTAGATCTACATGCACAGACTCACTATAAATTACTCGTATACGTGTGACGGTATCTTGTAACATGTACGTCACAAGCCTTTTTCTGTGCATTGTGAACTGCTACTGACTATGTACTACATCTGATCATTGCTGACGATACTTATTATCACTTTTCACCACTGCCCTGGCTTGTGCCAAGTAAGTAAACTGTGGATGTGCCCACTTCCTGTGCCCGCTTCCTGTGCCCACTTCCTGCACTTCTTTGCAAGTTGACATGATCGTGACAATGCATGTACATGTACATGCCTTGGAGTACTGGACAGTCATGTCTGTGAATGCTCCTACTCTGTACTTCCTGAAATGTATGGATTATTTACTTCCCCCCAATTCTTTCTAGATCCGCTTTGTACCAAAGATATTCTATTGCAATGTCCCTTCGCCTCCTCCAAAGATCCATTTTGGTACTTGTATCACATGCATTTAGATACTGTTGCTACGCCTTCACAGGCTTCAATATTAAGGGACCATCGCAAAAGTTCGCAGAAGCCCCCGAAACGAAGACCGTTAGTTTCGGGCCTGACCCCCCTCCCTCCTCCCCTCAAACGAAACGACAGTCACAATATGGGCTTCATTATTTCACTTGGATGCTCACACATAATAATTACTATAATATACTACACAAGCATTGTTGTATCAGTGTGTAACAATGTACAGCACTTTATAAATGCAACGATGATATCACCTTGCAGTGGGTGATCTAAGAACGAGAACAGCTAGAGCTATGCAGTTGTATCCTTTGAGCATGCTAATCTATATCAGCTCCTACATGTCGACAATACTTTTTTGAATTGAAGCCCGGTTTGCGATTTTCGACACCGACTCCCTCCCCCCCCCCCCCCCCCACAAACGTATGCTCTTCGTTTCAGGGGCTTCTGCGAACTTTTGCGATGGTCCCTAAGTTCTGTTTGGACGGACACAACATGCTGATGCCCTTTTTCCTGATTCATTTATTTATTTATTCAACATCTCCTGGCCCGTCCGAAGACTGCCAATAAACATGAGAGGTCAGGTGATAGCCAACCACGGCAAGCTAAAAGGGAAAAAAAAGAAAGATGCTGTCAGAGAGGGAAAGGAGATAGGGAGAGAAAAAGAAAGGGAGGCACATTAATAATACATGGGATCACTTCGGATGAGACAGTGTGGAAAGCTGGACTGTGAATTTCCTGATATCCTGGCATGTCTTAATGCTAGTAGGCAGGTTAGACCAAAGGGAGTATGCTGAGAAGAAAGGGGATTTCAAAAACAGAGAGGAACTAGCGCGGGGCAGTGATAAGGCATTGCGTGTTGGGCTAGTGGTAACAAACCAGTTGTACTTGGCAATATGTTTCGGGACTTGGGCTAGGAAGATTTTTTGCACAAGGATACAAAGATGCTGCTGATGTCGGGCAAGAAGAGGGTGCGTGGAAGCAAGTTTATAAAGACAAAGGGAGGCAAATGTTTGGTCATGCGGAAGATCCTTCTTCCTTTTCTCGCCAAATGTCACTCTGCATGGTCACGATTACATACACATACACGCACAATCATGTACCGTGATGATTTTGTACATGTACCGGCATATGTATGAGTGTGGGCTTGGGGGGGGGGGGGGGCATCGAGGTCGGATCTTGCCGGACCAACCAAAATGGGGCTGCTACGGGCCTGCATGTAGCTCATCCATGTCACCAAGTCCAAGAGGACGTAATATTAAATAATGTACTTTTGGTGTCACTGACCGTGACTGGGACTTGTAATGTAGGAGTCTCAAAATGATTCAAGCCCATAGGTCATAATAATTATGTATTTTATGCTTTTATGCTTACAGCTAGGCCTTGACGGATTATGCTAATATTTTCGTGAAATTATGCTTTTCGCATTGCTGAAAAAATTGCAGAATTATGCTATTTTATGCTAAAAGTTATCATATTATGCCGCATTAAGCTCACATATGCTGCTAATGTATAATGGTTCTGTGCAAAATAACAGGGGAATTTTTTTGTAGAGGGCATTGTACTGTAGTAGCAAAAGTTCAACGGGGTCAACGCACTGTCCGATCTAGCTACGACCGTCACTGATTGTAGTGGACTGGATATGTTATCATGGGAGTCGTAAACCTATGACTTCCTGGTGCATCTACTTGTACTTGTACTTGTAGAACATGTACAACTGTATGGAATTTGATGCGAACAGGCGGATTATTCCAATTTATGCGATTCATATGCAATTTGCCTCGAATTATGCGATTATTCGATTTTGGTAGAAATTATGCGAAAAATTATGCTAGCATAATCCGTCAAGGCCTACTTACAGCATTGACTTGATTGAGTGCTTTCATGCTGACACGTTAATTTTAGGATGTAGAGAAGCTTCCAAGAAGGTCAGGGGGTAGCATGACCATTGCCAGAGTTCCACCTTGTGGAAACAAACCTTCCAACACTTACATGTATACTGTCTTGTATAGGCTCTCTGTAGTGTAGAGCATGATCGGGTGCTCCAGTTATTTGCAGGTTTTAAGGAGGAGCCTGAGACTAATTGGATACGAGTTATAAATACGATGGGTGCATGTAACTGTTCACCACTGTAACCACATGTAGATCTACATTGTACTGAGATACCATAGTGAGAAAGTGAGAAAGTGCGACAACTACTGTAGTGTAGTGTAGGCACCACCGCAGGGAGTAACCGCGCTTCGGAGACTCAACAGCCTACCATCTAGCCCCAAAACATCTCCAATGCGCAGCCTTCCAACAGCCGTCCGACTTGGAAAGTTCATTGTTGGTGTCACAACACAATGTCCGGAGTAATGATAATAAGTAATAGCTGTTTGAAAGACGTCTCAGTCTGACGCCGATACAGTAGAATAGTGTTCGGAACAGCACTTACTAAAAAAAGGTAACTGACTGGCTGTACAGTACTAGCAAGATCAAAAGAGTACTCTTGGTACTAGTGACAGTCAGTAGTCAGTAGTACATGTACCACGAGTTCTAGACACGAGACTGACAGTGACAAGAGTAAAGCAAAGTGTCAAAATGGCCATGACTGATGAATCATAGAATATCAACGCAGAAACATGCTCGGATGATCTGATGATGGTCCTCTCAAAAGAACAATGACGTGCTTCTGTCACGGCATCCGCTGCATGCATGCAATGCCTGACATGCTGAGTGGGTCTACAAACCAAATCCGAGGCAGGCAAAAGGGGAAAGCCACTGCACAGCTGCCTGGCTGGATCATCTGAGGGGAGTGACATATGCCTGGGACTGCATGCAGCGCGTGAAATCAAAATCGGAATCATCGACTTTACACTCTGTGCTGCGTGCAGTGTGTTGGTTGCTGCCAACGTGGCGAAATCCATCAGTGCGTTTCCCTCACTGCAAGCGACCCGTTGTTCAGAAGAGATTTGCAGATTTTGACTAGCGTCCGTCATCCGTGTGCGCATCCACTGACAATACTTGGAAATGTCGTGGATATTCAGGCTATATAATGGCGCTGGGGAGCGACATTGGAGACAGAACACAGCCGCTACTGGATCAGTAACCTGAATAAGTACTAGTAGTCGGAGAGTCAATTGAGTGAATTCCTTAGTCTTACTACTACTTCGAAGTAGTATCTTGAGCAAAGGTTAGAGGGAAGAAACACGTGCTAATAATTTACAATCAACGATGGGCCTCTTCCTTGCTCGCTTGAAGAAGGTGTTTGACGAATTCGGCAACACTCAAGCTCGAATTCTGATGCTGGGTCTGGATGCAGCAGGCAAAACAACAATCCTCTACAAGTTCAAGTTGAATGAGGTGGTATCCACCATTCCCACAATTGGCTTCAATGTAGAGACTGTTGAGCCAATGAAGGGCCTGACATTCACGGTGTGGGACGTCGGTGGACAGGACAAGATTCGACCACTGTGGCGTCACTACTTCTCAGGGACGGAAGGACTGATCTATGTAGTGGACAGCGCCGACAGCTCGAGATTTGCCGAAGCACGTGCCGAGTTGCACTCAATCCTGGACTCGGAGGAGATGCGAGGTGTGCCGTTCATAATATATGCCAACAAGCAGGATCTGCCAAATGCTGCTTCACCGTCTGTCCTTATAGAGAAGTTACAGCTTAGCAAGCTTTCTGGTCATCAGTGGTATGTGCAGACGACGTGTGCTACAAACGGCGATGGTCTCTGCGAAGGTATTCAGAAATTCAGTCAGTTAGTGAAGGACTTCAAACGCACAAGGAACCAGTCAATGTACTGAGAGACGGATTGATTTCAACGAAGTAATAAGCTGACAATGCCTTCAGTTCCAGTTAAGTTGATCATCAGTATCATTTTTGTTTTCTCCGGTCCTGTTACTTAACCTTAATGAATCTGCAGGAAGCCTCAGTCTAACTTTGCTACTGTGATGGTATTTCAAATTTTAATAGATTGCGTTCTCTCAACTTTTGACTTGAGGGCACCCACTGTTTAAGTATACGGAAGAGTCCCTTCATGTAATTGTTTGTGTCGATGTGCAGAGCCGTACAGGACGAGTATCTCAAAGAGTGTTGAAACATACTATCGCATTCTGTTCAGAACATGTGCTTTGAGTATTCACGGGTGATTTTTCGATTACCTGTCTTGTATGTTACGTACTGTATATTGCTGAATCTATTGCCTCTCTTTTATTATTATCATTATTATTAGGTACAGCTACTCCACAACCCTTCTTTAATTATTTTAATATACAAATAAGATCAAAACCTCATGATCTGTATCGATCACACATGCCAACGGTTTGTGAATACCCTATTAAAGCTATCCATTACTTTCTTACCCTCTGGTTAGCCATTAGAGCAATTGATTATTGAAACTTCATCTAGGCCTCCAGCTCAGAGACCACATACTGAACTACTGTACTATTTATCAAAAATTCAAAATGACCATCATCCCTTTCATTTTCACACTTTAGCGGAGCTGATGATACACATTTTCATTAGTTTTGATTTGATTACAGGCAACCATGAAGAAATAATAATTGGTACAGGTGGATTGTGCTTGCTTTCCTGGGTATGTGTGCGAACACTGCAAAGGCTACCAATAGCGTTTCTAGAGGTCCCATTCAGTGTGCTCGCGCGCCACTTAAAATGGCGACAACTCCCTCTCCAGTAGCTGGGGATGAGAGCAAATTGGACAGGAAATGTGATGCCCAAAGTTCCATTCAGATCGAGTTTGATTTCCATCTAACATGGAGCAATGACACGGTGATGTCAATAAACAATGGATCACTCGTAGTGTTTTGCTACTCTGAGTTTCATGCACTGTGTGCAATCATCAGGCAAAACATATCCAATGCAGATTGGTCACAGCATAACGGGAATTTTTTCAAGGTGGATAGAGCATTAGAGGCGGAGACAAGTGTAAGGCTTGGCGGGACCTCTGGTGTGCAATCTTTGGGCCAACTCGGGATTGAGAATTTGTGTTTCAGCTGGGCAAGTGCAGTTGAGCACTGGGTGCTAGGTGCCTGTAGCATAGCGGTGGCAGTGTGTGCGATTGGCACCTGTATCCACTTTAATGGTAACATAATTATTGGGAATTCTTTGAATAAACTTTATTCAAGGAATTCCCAATATGTTACCATGTACCAGTCTGCATTAGATATGTTTTGCCTTTTGATATCACACAGTCAGTGCATGAAACTCAGAGTAGCAAAACACTACGGGTAAACCATTGTACTGGTTTATATACCCATAAAGCAAAGTGTAAGTGTAAGGTGATGGCTGTGGATAGTTTGAAGTAACATAGTTCCGAAGGTACATGTAGTACTTATTCCCGTGGCGACACTTTGACACAAGTTCACTCCTCTTGTTGATAGCGAGGTGCTTGCGCGATTGCTAATTTTTCCGCCAGGCACAGGTTGCACCTTTTGCTTTTGTCGCTGTAGGCCACTGCTCTGCGGTGTACCGCCCATTGAATGCTGCATGCCTTCTCTTCATCCTTCTTGGCCCAGACGTACTGCGATAGGCGGGTGTCCTTCTCGTGTTGTCTGTGGCGGAATGATGATTAGTGGTTATAGTAGTGTTGTTTGAATGTTGTTGCTGGTAATCCAGTATACTCCTTCTTCTCCGTACCTGTGGTGATTCTTGCCTTATACACAATGCTCTCTGTTAGACACGCTCCATCCAGTGGACATAAGTCTTTCGTCCGACAGCTACAAGTCCGTTGGCTTGTTTCTTGGGTCGTAGAATCGTGTTATTGTGCGGTTTGATGATGGTGGCCATATTCTGCATGGAACTGTGGCTAACTTTTACCGAGTTCCTGTTGAAGATTTTGTTGAGGCTTGAGCCTTTGGGGAAGTATTTGGCCACTAGCTGGAGGAAGCTACTCCAGTTATTTGCACGGTTTAAGGAGGAGCCTGAGACTAATTGGATACGAGTTATAAAATAGGGGTGCATGTAACTGTTCACTATTGTAACTACATGTAGTATGTACATTGTAAGATACCACAGTGGCAAAGTGCGACAACTAGGCACCATCCGGCCTGGGACAGTGGGAGTAACCGAGCTTCGGAGATTCGACGACCTACCGGTATACCTATACCATCTAGCCCCGAATACACCTCCCATGCGCAGCCTTCCAACCGAGCAGTCCGACTTGGAAAGTATTCATTGTTTGAGTCACAACGAATCACTGTCTGGAGCTGAATTGCTAAATCATAATAAAAAAAAGACGTCTCAGTCTGACGGTACAGTAAAATACCGGTAGTGTTCGGTACCACGAGTTCAAGACTCACGTACGTGTCAAAATGACTGATGAATCATACGACGTAGAATGTCAACGCAGAAACATGTTGCCATTGTTGGTCATATTTTATTAGAACAATGAATGATCATAATAATGATGATTGTGTAGTGACTTCTGTCACGGCATCCGCTACATGCGCGACATTGACATGCTGAGTGGGCCAAACCAAATCAGCCGGAAAGCCACATGGTGGGCACTACGCCACTACTACTGGCACTAGTGCACTGCCTGGCCGGCTGGAGTGCCTGGGACTGCAGAGCGCTATCATTCTATGTAGATCTACGTGCGGATGATGACAGCGAAGCCAGGAATCAAAATCCGAATCATCGACTTTGCAGTCTGGGCATGCAGTGTGTTGGATGCTGCCAACGTGGCGAAATCCACCAGTGCTTTTCCCTCACTGCATGCGACCCGTTGTTTAGAAGAGATTTGCAGATTTTGACTAGCGTCCGTCAGCGTGTGCGCATCCACTGGCAGTACTTGGAAATGCCTTGGAAATGGCGCTGGGGAGCGAGATTGGAGGCAGAACGCAGCTGCTACTGGATCAGTCACCTGAATAAGTAATTAGTCAGAGCCTGAGTCAATTGAGTGAATTCCTCAGTCTAACTACTACTTCGAAGTAGTATCTTGAGCAAAGGTTTGAGAGAAGAAACACGTGCTGATTATAAATAATTTACTATCAACGATGGGCCTCTTCCTTGCTCGCTTGAAGAAGGTGTTTGACGGCAACACTCAAGCTCGAATTCTGATGCTGGGTCTGGATGCAGCAGGCAAAACAACAATCCTCTACAAGTTAAAGTTCAAACCCCCCATTCCCCAAATTAGCTTTAATGTGGAGACAGTTGAGCCAATGGAGGGCCTGACATTCACGGTATGGGACGTTGGTGGACAGGACAAGATTCGACCACAGTGGCATCACTACTTCAAGGGGACGGAAGGACTGATCTTTGTAGTGGACAGCGCCGACAGCTCGAGATTTGCCGAAGCACGTGCCGAGTTGCACTCAATCCTAGACTCGGAGGAGATGCGAGGTGTGCCGTTAATAGTTTATGCCAACAAGCAGGATCTGCCGAATGCTGCTCCACCGTCTGTCCTTATAGAGAAGTTACAGCTTAGCAAGCTTTCTGGTCACCAGTGGTATATGCAGGCGACGTGTGCTACAAACGGTGATGGTCTCTGCGAAGGTATTCAGAAATTCAGTCAGTTAGTGAAAGACTTCAAACGCACAAGGAACTAGTCATTGTACAGAGAGACGGATTGATTTCAACAAAGTCATCAGCTGACAATGCCTGCAGTTCAGGCATAAAGTAAAGTTAGCCGGATTCGCGGCCGCATCACCTGACGTGTTTAGGAACACACCAAGCAAATACATTGGCATCGGCGGCCCACCACTTCGACCACATCCTCAGTGTCGAATGCAGACCTCACAAGTGAGTCAGGGGAGAGGGGATACGTCTCTCAACAAGCGGGCCTATCAAAAGGCCCTATAACCCCATAAACCGCATCCTTGTTGCCCTCACACCCAGCAAGTGAGTACCCAGTTCACCGTGGGTGTTGGGACAGTTCATTGCATTTAAAATCAGTGGCACTCGCCCGCATCACCGCGATTGAGAGAGCACTAAACACACTCCCTGTTACCAGCGCAGGTTTGAACTCGGCACCTCCTGATTCGCAGGCAAGCCTACAAAGTACAAACCAATCGGCTATACGCGTTGGTCAGGCGTAAGAACGTGCAATGATACTCAGTAAAGTCTTGATGCTATTGGTGAAATGTAGTTTGCTGACTTGATGATGCTCAATAGTAGTATGCACATAAGGTATGTGTGCACTAGAAATATTTGAAGTAGCCAAAGGGAATGAAACCAATTGTTTCCAACCAGAACTTTTTGAACTGAATATATCCATAGTGCATTCACGCCGGTACGTGTGCTTTTTTGATATGATATTCACGATTTTTCTAGTGCGGTTTCCATTCATGTGTGATCTCATTCTTGTGTACGTTTCCGATCGGACATTACTGTATGATTTGAGTTTAGCTATGCTCTTTTTTTTTTTAAATCAGTTGATGCTTCAAGTACCTTTCATATGTTGTAATTATATAACCCATGAACATCCAAAAGATACACCCCAGCAGTGTGGATATGCTGGAAACAAAGTCTTGATCCACTCAGATTTGTTGTTGTTGTTGTTGTTGTTGTTGTTGTTGTTGTTGTTGTTGTTGTTGTTGTTGTTGTTGTTGTTGTTGTTGTTGTTGTTGTTGTCGTCGTCGTTGTTGTTGTGATGCCATGACGTTTCTCAGCCTGAGACGATTTATTTCATAGTGCTCATCAGTCACGATCAGTGTCACTCTGAAATGAACTTTTTTGTTTGTGGTATGTGCACCGGTAACTTATGTTATGGATATTCAGAGGTGGTTACGGTCTTTGCATCTTCAAGTTCGGAGCCAGAATCCCGGTGGAGATTGGCCTGGCCAAAACTACAGTATTGCCTGATTCGAATACAATGTAGCATTTGTAGCCCAGAATGCAGACGGTAGCGTTGCAAGATGAGAAACCAAGTTTTATACAGTGTATAGGCAATCCTCAGACAACTGACTGTTCAGTTGTCTGAGGATTGCCTTAGCTTTGCTATGTGCATGAAACGCAGCGTTACAACAATGACCTAGCCGGCTGTCTCTGTTCTCTTCTGCCTTTGTGGTAATGCTCCATCCTTGTGGTGTTGAGCACTCAGCTAGGCAATCTGGGAACTCTCGCTCTTGTGTACATGTATGTATAATACTGTAAAAGCAGAAATTATTTTCGGCGGTGTTTTATTTTCGGTAACTTCGGTGCCGACAATTTTTACCGAAAATAAAACGCACCGAAAATTTCGGTACTACCGGTACTGTATACATTTAGTACTAGTACACTTACCTGGAAAACGGGTTTTTCCGAAAATTTCCCTCCACCGAACCGCCGATTTTGGAGAATACCGAAAATATTACACCACCGAAATTTCTGCTTTTACAGTAATACTCTTGGAAGAGTGGATAAGCCCCGGCGGGGGGGGGGGGGTATAATTACCAGTATACTCTACAATTATAGTCTTGATGTGAATACCAGCAAGAGTACATAACCCCCGGGCCGGGGGTTATGTACTCTTGATATAACAGTGCACAGGGTACCGGCAAGAGTACCGGGTAGGGGCTTATTTTGTTCGCATTATTGAAAGTCTTGCCATGATGTCACATTCTCTGATTATGAGCATACAAAGCGCTAGCGAACATCCTGATTTTGTTTTTGAATGATTTTTTTGGGTGCTGTGTCGATGATCCTTCTCCTGTCTCCTCCGCGGTCGATCCGGCTCCAGCCTCCTCAACTGGCTCAAGCCAAGGACAAGGTCTCCTGCCACAGCCGGCCCCTCCTATCTGCCTTAGTTCTGTCTGACTGTGAAGTACCTTTGAAGTTTCTGTATGACAACCAGCTGAGCTGCTGCAGCCAGCTTTGCCACGTCGTCACCAGGTAACTGGTTACATGATCTGACTGGTACAGTACTCAAGTCAAGTACAAGTCAGGCTGCGAGCTACAGAACTGTTCGCTTGATTCATCATCAAAATTGGATTTATTTGTAGCCTAGCCCAGCTGCAAGCAACAAGCTGGAAACAGGAAAAGGAGGAGAACGTCACCAGACTAGACACAATCGAGAGCAGTGCAGTTTTCAATTATTTATGCAACACTTCAATAGATTCTGAGAATGTTTTGTTGTGTTAGTAGTTTAGCTTTTCATCTTTCCAGAAGTTCCACGTGTGCGCGCAGAATCCAGGCCCGTGTGTCCTGTTGCGTTTGGCGAAGAGCCATGTCGACTGGCCTCCTGAACAGGCCCGTCGAGAGTGTAGTAAAAGTCGATGGTCCTGGCAGTCAATTCAGTGTTGTGAGCTATAATATTTTGTCAGACAATTTGCGCGAGCAACATCCAGATTTGTATGAAGAATGCAATGAGAAATTTGTGACCTGGGAGCACCGAGGCCCTCAGCTTATCCGCGAGGTTGTGTCGTACGACGCCGATGTAAGTCTCCATCATAATGTGCTAATCCTATAAGACGTCAATTACCCGCATATCAGAATTTCTCAATAGAATTTCAAAATCTGATCCCACAGCGCAATGAATGTACATGATTGTACTTGCGCCTGATGCTTCCGCTCAGCTGCTCCATATCTGGGAGAAATGTACAGTCACGTACATACCGGTATACATGTACAGCGGATAGTGAAGGAACCGTTCGCCTGTAAACACCACTTGTTTTCAAACTGTAATTTCTCGTCGTGTCCCGCGCGTTAACGAATGTACATGTACATTGTATGCTGACCATATGCATAGACCACATGCACAGTGTCATCGTGATGTCATCTGTACACAATTTTCCAATTACGCGGGATTTATGCGGTATGAATGCAGTCATTATACAAGAGTTTCCGTCATTGGTATTTTGAAGTACAATTTTAGCACAAATGCATACACCGTAGTAGCGCACATATAGGCGCATGTGCCTGTATTCGGATATATGCGCACTCTCAATTATAAGCGCATGCTCTTAAGTTATAGGCGAAGCACTACCAAAATTCTCACTTTGACACAATCACGGATAAAAGTCTGCAAACAGCATACAGGAACCATGAAACTGACACTACAAGACCTAGTCAAACACAAAGACTCTGACAAACGAACTCTGATCGCGCATGCGCGTTTTATATAATAGGTGAAAAACATTTCATTTTTGAAAATTGGATTCGTAGCAAAGATTCACTTATAAGCGCATGTGCTTATAATTTATGTGTGCGTTATTACGGTAATTCTAACTTTGTCGTACAAACGCATGGGGGTACTCTTTGTTTGATTTTTAAAACAAATTGTAACTGTGCGGCACATTCCACTTCCATAGCTTATCATGCACTGCCGTGAACTACTTCATTCTCTTTTGCTCTACTTACCAAACGTGATTACGGATGAATTCTGGGGGAAAATGTTTTTGTCACAATGAATCTGTGCCTGTTGGCTGTTGATAGGCTGTGAGTCTTTCCATAATTGCCTTGTTGTTGTCTCCGACTGGCTTGATGAAGGTTTAAGAATGTCTAGTATTTCTTTGATGCTGTTTGCTTTCTGCTCTGACTTATCCACTAGGTAATATGCATGCAAGAAGTAGAAAAGGGACATTTCGACGCTACGCTAGTTCCGGGGTTTGAACAACATGGTATGTGCTCAAGTCTTACGTTTACTTTGTCTGTGGCGGCGGTGGGTGTGCTGCTCGTGCTGACTATCTCCTCTCTCTCTCTCTCTCTCTCTCTCTCTCACTCACTCTCTCTCGTCTCACTCTCTCATCTCACTCTCTCTCTCTCTCTCTCTCTCATATAGTCTTGCTTACGGTGGTAGATATAATGGTGTATCTGCGATGGCAGCTTTTGGTAACGAGCATGGGGTATCTATACTGTGCAGCGCTACTTTCTGCAAGCACAGAACACTTTCGATCCTTGCAGCTTGTAATAATCTGAGTACTCAATAACCAATTGAGTAATCTTTCCCAGACTCTTCTAAATATTTCCCTTTGCCGAGAGACGCATGGGATCAGTTTTGGCGGGGAGTACATGAAGTACATTAGTGTGTGTGTGTGTGTGTGTGTGTGTGTGTGTGTGTGTGTGTGTGTGTGTGTATGTTTATGTGTCTGTGTCACGTATGTGTGTCTTCTTGGACTGAACAGGATTTAAAGGTTTTCACGTTGCTCGAAATGGTGATCACCCGGATGGTTGTGCAACATTTTACCGAACAGAGAGGTTTGATCTGATCAAACAACAGCCAGTTGAGTACCACAGACCCGGCTCAAACATGCTGGATCGTGACAACGTAGCACTTTTGCTTCTGCTCCGGTCCAAGGAGAGCAAGCAGAGCGCTGTTGACTGTTCCTCACCTCCAGATTCTACAACGGGTGGTGAGAAGCGAGACTCATGCGCTGCAGGCAACGTAGATACCAGCCCATGCAGTGCTGATGGTGGCGACTGTGGAGATACAGTTCTTGTTGCCAATACACATTTGCTCTTCAACCCTCGCCGGGGAGACGTCAAGTTGGCCCAGGTCAGTTTATGCACTTCACTCTTTACTTGTACTGTAGGAATGTATTGATACTGTCCTCAGGCTGTGTTGTGGAGTGAGGCTGGGGAAAGTGGTTTGGTAATTAATTGACTCTTAACAGAGTCAATTAATTACCCCTTACAGGTTTGAGAATGTGTCCGTGAACCTCGTGCTCTCTGTTACCCTTCCACCGAGAAGAGGTGGCACATGCACTAATGATCATCGGCAAACTGTTCACTGTTTACTGTTCTCTCCTTTCTCTTTCAGCTCATGCTGCTGATGGCAGAAGCGCAGCGCTTGTCTGCAATTACCGATGAAGCAAGTTCTTCTGCTGGATCTCCTGTATCTCACCATCCGATAATATTGACTGGAGATTTTAACTTGACACCGTTCAGTCCAATCTACTGGTTCCTTACAACTGGTGGGTTGTACTATGAAGGTGCCGACCAGTTTTCCTTGTCCGGTCAGGAGAGGAAAAATCGCTCAAAGCCTGTGCGAGGTGCCACGAGAAACGCGTTGCTTCCGGAGGCAATTGGAGTATCGAATCGCTGTATATATGAGGACACATCACTGGGAAAGCGCTTCAACAATGTGCCGGCTGTCACGCACCCGTTGGGCCTGGCATCCGCCTATCAGCACTTCTTTAGCCGCGACGAGCTGGAGTTCACCACGTATCACAGCCGTGTCTGCTGTACAGTGGACTATATCATGTTTGCTAGTGATCAGTTCTCCGCGCGCCATGACATGGACATGCTGCAGTATCGGCGCAGACTCTCGCTGCTCGGCCGTCGACAACTCCTCCGGCAAGCGCACCTGCACCCACTGGGCCCGCTACCCAACGAGCAGTACGCGTCCGATCATTTAGCAATTCAAGCGTTCTTCCAGTTTGCACCTGCCGCTGGTGCACCATCGCACCAATCCCGAATGAGCACAACGCCTGGTGCAAGTAAGCGGACCCGTCACTGACACGACTGCTGCTGTTGGGTTAGTTTATGTGCCGTCGACTACTGGCAATTACTTATTAACTTATTCGTGTTAGCTGGACAAACTTGAGCTGCTTTATTGGCCAATGGGAACTTGCCTTCAGTACGAGGTTTGAAATATATTCTGTCATGAAAATAATGTACCACTCACTAGTGCTGGTGCAACTTGCCATATCTAGTCAACTCAATATATTGCATGACATGCACTGCAAAGCCATAGTCGTCATATCCTCACTTGAAATCTTCAGCATGAGTTGCTCTCCGACTTTCTCCTTTTCGTGGTGGATTTTTTTGTTTGTTGAGGAAGGAAAAGTGCTATTTGCCATAGAAAATGTTACTCCCATGTCTAGGTGACCGAGTCAATTATCTGCCCTTCGTGCAGCCATTTAATTATTGTTCATGTTTCCCATCTAATTTGATGCGAACAAAATCTATCATAGCCTTCCTATTTTTTTCTTTCTTGTCGTTTGTAAGACTGGTACAGCTATGGTACAGCTACATTGGGACTGGTACAGCTATGGTACAGCTACATTGGGACTGGTACCCGTATTTGTACTTCGTTTTCTTTCAGTTGTTGTTGAAGCTTTATTTGACATTTCGTATTTTTGTATCCGTTTCTTACTAGCTTTCGTATTCTAGTCTTTTCCTGTGTGTTCATGTAGGGACCCTAACTCTTAGGAAAGTTAATGTTTTATTGTTGAAGCAGTGTTTGTGGCAACTGTCTGAGGGGGGGGGGGGGGGCACATACCTGTCTGGTCCACCCCCAGTCTGCATGCGGGATCTCGGACATGTACAAGAAAACCCGGGGTGCATTTCCTCGTTGCAGTATAGACAGACTAATTTAGCTGAGATCTCGGTTGCATCTTGGTCGCACACAAGCACCTGCCTAAGGTCCCGTGTGCGGGTAATCCAACCTCAGCATGTCGACCAGCCCGACTTGCAGCTGTCGACCAGGGGAGTAGTAAAATACCAGTATTTTTCTACTCCCTGGTTCAGGCCATGACCAGACCAACTCTCAGCCACCAGTCTTATTATGTTAAATGGTCGCTGCTGGGGTGATGACTACACCATAGCTTAGTGGTTGAGCATCACTTGCCATAAGCGGCAGTCCCTGGTTCGAGTCCTGGTGGTGCCACTCAATTTTTCCTGTTTTCAACTCCCCCAAACCTACGAATGTCTTATGATTATACTCTTGCTGTTTCGTGCAGAGGGTCGCTATTGGCAAGAGTCCACAACCAAAAGGATGCAACGTGGCTTATGGGTCCAGACTCTGACCGTCCAGGCGCAGCACGTTTCAACTTGTAAACTTGTATTTAATATCATAAAAACTTAAAAGGGAATGCCCACACGGACAATGATGATCAGGTGACTGCTTATACCTGTGAAGCCTATTCCAACAGTGTTTTCCTACAATATTTTATAGGAGTACTAAAGCAATGGATAGCTTCACAGAGAAATGGAAACTCGAGGTAACATTAGGGTTCATGATGGCACAACCTCACATGTAACGGAGTGTGTTTGTCCGATAGTGTTGATGGTATCGCTGGATGTATCAATAAGAACAGTGCTGACTGGATCCAGCACTTCTGCTGGTGCTGCTGCAGGAGCACGGTTACTCCTCCCATCGTCCAAGTGTGAGCGAGCGGAATGTGTGCAGTTGGGTCCTTGAAGAGCAACACCAGTGATGGTGAGCTTGATGATACGAGAATCATCATCAGCATCAGCTTCACTGGCATGTGACTGCAACGGGTTAGACACACTAAAGGTTGCAAATGTACTCTGAGGCAGCATGGCTGACCTGTGTGTGATGCGTGTGTTCAGCATAGCTATACATGGCATAGAACTGCTTAGCTGCCAACAAAGATCTCCAGCAGATGTTGTTCCTCCCGTGTGGTTCCAGAAGACTGCCTGTAGGGAGAAGCCGTCATCCGTTTTCATGCATGCTGACTGGATATCTCTTGTATTGGTGACCTGGAGAAGTGTAGATGCTAGTGTTTGTAGACGTGTAGGAACCTCTGCTAACTTGGTGTTAGGCATTACTGTATACATGTACTGGAATGGGTCAGTGCTGTCTGCGGGCAGTTGCGGGTAGAATACACCAAACATATCCACCATTAGAGTGGCATTGCTGCCCTGTGTTATATCTGCCCAGGTTCCATTTCTTTGGGTGTTGAATATGCCCACTGTGGCGCCTTCACTGACGCAACCTTTGCCTATGACATTGCAGTCGGAAGTTTTGGAATTGTCCTGTGTGATATACAGGACATCGTTATGGTGAATCCAAGCGACATTTTCAAGAATGTGATCGCCTCTTGATAATGTGATGACGTCCTGGTGACCGCTTGCTATGCCCACACTGACATTGGAACGGAGCTCTTTCTGGTCCAAGCTGGTCGCAATGCTATAGTGCTCCGTAAAAATGATACTACCACTGCCCATGTGAAGCACAAACTCATCGGCAAATGCCCACGCTTTATGAACACTGATTCCAGATCGGCTGAAGTTCATACAGGACACACCTAGGGTGTCATCGGACGTTCCTCCAACAAATTCGGTATGGTTAACTTTTGTTGCTTCTGAGCAGGTGAAGGGAAATCCCCGATGGTGTTCTGTTGTACCGGGTACCAGGCTCCAATTCCAAGCAGGGTAGGTGTTTTCGTACTCGCTGCCGTTCACGTAAACATTGGTAACGCCATCGGCTACGGTCTTGCCCTGCTTGCCCTCGTCGTTGCCGCATTCCGTGTTCAGAGTGCGCGTGGAGTACATACGCACCGTCACTGCCCAACCAGGACGATGGTGAACACTGTAGTCAGACGTGTAGAAGTGCTTGTGAACGGAGAGACTGTCCATCTCCGGGTTCCCGTTCAGTCTCTGCTGAAACGCAACGAACTGATCAAGGATGCTCTGATTGCGAGCTGTTACAGATGGTAGCAGGTTCTGGAAGTCCACTGCTAAGGGCGTATTGAATGGGGAGCGGAACTCGGGGAAGGCGTTCTCGTACGGCGTGAATGCAGCAAAGTAGTGGTAGTGGCCAGAGTTGAGTCCGTACTGATCGTGATCGCTGAAGTATGTCATTAGTCGTCCGCATGCGGTGTAGTCAAAGTTAGCACCCCGCGTGGTCAGTAGCTGGCCGTGCAGCACATACTCGGAGAAGATGTCCATTTTCACGTCGCTCATCTGATAGGTAGTGTTGTGTGCCACCTGGTCCATGTCCAGAACAGTGGTGGTGAAGATGGCACCATATCCCCATCCCGTGTACAGCTGTGCTCCGTGCTGGTGGAAGCTGAAGTCATGCTGTATTCCGTCCTCTCTGCTGCCATGATCGTGGACTACGACTGCCGCCTGCATAACGTCGTATGCTTCTCTCAGCATAGTCGTGTTGCCGCTAACCAGTGCCCAGAGCGAGTGTGCGGATGCACGCCAAACCTGGTTGGCAGCTGTGCCTTCCCCTTGGCTGGTGTAGTGAGCTCTTGCTAGTATGGGTGCTGATTTGTCCACCCACTCTTTCAAGCCGCTCACGTTTTGCCAGGAGCTCAACAGCACCAAGCATTTACCGACGGCACGAGGTAGTCCGATCTCTTCCCACCACCAGTTGGAGTTGTGAAAAGCAGGAACGTTGTCAACATCACTCTCGATCCAGGTTGACAGGACGAGTTCCATTGTCGAGCGTAGGGTCGCACTTTGGTGGTAAGCACTACGAGGCTCCAGCGTTGCGATGCCAAAGATCAAGGCACGCTGCAAGTGCACCGCTACAGGCCACCAACTCCGATCACTGCTACCTACCGATTCGTAGATGATATCGGTAAATCTGCCGGAGGTCCGGTTGAGAAGTGGAGCATATCCGTTCACTGCTTTGTCCAAGATTTGCACCGACTGCGTACTCGCAGGCAACATTTTAGCCAAGGTCCTGGCAAGCATGGTTGCCACTTCGTTATCATTGTTAGACGCCAGGCTGATGCCTAGTGTGGCGCCTCGCGAGCTGCGACCATCGTCCAACACACCACGGCTGCCTCCCACCCCTACTCCTAGGCATAGAAGTAGGAGCGGGACGAGCAAAGGCGTTCGCTCCATCTGCTAATTACTTATTTCGGTCGCCGGTGAGAGCTAGTGGTGAACGGCCGATGGCGATAATAATACCGGCCGTGGAGTGGTTTTCAGATTACCGGTAAGGCGCCGAACGCGAAGAGCTGCACCGTGCTGTATTTACCGGTTTTCTAATTGATTTTGTTAGTTTGATTCGGCCTTGTCATATACGTTCCGTCGTACATGTAGTTCTCCAATAACGCCTACAAGACGGTCAAAAGGTTTCTTTCATTGAGCTGGTCCGGGCCGGCGAAACAAACGTCGCTCTACGAACACCATACCAGTACTGCAGTAGCACTGGCTATGGTGTCGAAATGATACTGACTGTCGAAGTACAGACTGTCAGTTTTTCCTCGTGGACCTATGCCTATTATTTAGCTATGCCATGGTTATCATGGTTATAATGCCTTGGAGTATAATCATGATAATTGGTACTACATTTGTACCACTGCGCAAAGCTACAGTCATGGTAGTCATGGTACCGGTAGTTGCCGATACGTACATGCTTCGACTTCCAGTTCCACTTCCTGCTGAGAAGTGAGATGCTCTGGAAGGCTGGAGCTGGATGGCCCGGAATCAGCTTGGATACGTGTACAGCAGGGAGTCGTCAAAATTATTTGACGACTCCCTGGTGACTGGTGTACAGCATAACCATGGGGCATGATGATTGTCTTTTGATGATAGCGGCTCATGCTCACGACTTGTCAATGTCATACAATGCATGGCAATGTGTCCCCCCCCTCCCCCCCCCCCCCCCCCCCCCCCGAAGGCGAAGCCATGACATTTTCTTTTTGACTTACTCTTACTCTTTTCCTTGCTAGCCGTGGTTGGCTATAAAACCCTGCAATCGCCACGCAGAGTGGTCATTGGCTACCCCAGCCATATATTGCTTGGCATAAAACTAAACAGTAGCTGAGTTGAACTGTGACCATGGTGACGGAAAGAGCATGCAGAACATTTCGCCGGTACACCAGGGTACACTGTAACCAAGAGTACATAACCCCGGGGGTTACATGTATGTATACATGTATGTATACATGTATGTACTCTTGCTGTACTAATGATGCTATGAATAGTATGATGATGGCAGCACATCACCAAGAGTACAATAATCCCCCCCCCCCCCCAGTTATGTACTCTTGATATCACACGGCGGAGGGCACACTGCGTCGAAAACGGGTCACGAAACAGTCCGAGTCGTCTCCGTTCCTGAGTCCTGACAACAACCAGAAACCAATGAAACCAGCAGGATGCAGAGGTATATTATGCTCCGCAGGCCGCGAAAGAGAGCCCGTTACCTGGACCCCTACTCGCGCGGGTAGAGCGAAACTGAGCACCCTGGGATGCGAGCAGCTTTTTAGTACTCCCGGGTCCAAAATCTCACCACCAGGCCGGGATGATCAAAACGTCTGCCGGGTCTGCAGCCTACAAACGTGGATCTGCCGACACTGTGCTGTCGACGACATGTCCGGCAAGGCACCTCCTTGCGTGAAAGCAAGGAACGCTTTTTTTTTAGAAAGGAAGCTTCTTCTCCAAAATTTAAAATTTTTGAAAATTATTCCTTCTGAAAATATCATCGCGTTCTTGACCTCGAAGCTGACTGCTGAATGCGATTAGGAAAGAAGATTCCTGAAGATACACCAGACTGATTCTGGCAAGCCGTCTGTCGTCTAGATATGCAGTTGTTCGTCATGCATGGTCAGCAATCTTCCTCGTTCGTCCTTTCGTTTTCCTGACCACGATGATGACAAGCAGCTCTCATGCTCAGGTTAGTGCTGTACTTGTATGTCTGGGCACACAACACATCTGAGATTCACCCACTGACGTTATCGAACTGAAGAATGCAGCAAGGGTTCCTCGGATTCTCTTGATTTCGGAACAAATTTCCTTCACTTTCACCCTCTCAGTCTCTTCCCCATGCCCTCCATGCATGCACAATGCAGCTTGCATTTCAATTGCTATTTTTTATACTTTGGCAGTGCCTCTGCTACACTTTCATATAGAGTGAGGTCCTGTAAATAGGATCGAACATTGTTGGTGGTGGTGTGTGTGTGTGTGGGGGGGGGGGGGGGTACGTTTGCAGCCAGGATGTAGGAATGACACTTCTGCACAGCAGGTGGCAATAGTCAAAACTGGTCACTCTACAAATCCCATACCTGCCAACCTTTGCAAACCTGAGATCCAATGACATACCTAGGCATGAAAATGTATACAAAAGAAGCTCGCGGTGAGGCATGGAACTAGTGCACTTTTGGGTGCCTATTACCGCCCTCGATATCGGGACGGTCCCGGCCAAATCGGGATGGTTGTCAGGTATGAAATCCCAACCGAGAAAACCATTTAATTAAAAGATAAACTCGGCCAGGACATAGCGACTTTCTGTTTGCCGGGGGGGGGGGGGGAGGGTCATCGTCCGCAATATTGGTAGAGTTACGATTACATTGTATATGTAGATACATGTGCATCAGGGATTCATAGCACCTGGGGAGACGACATGAGACCTAAGTACCCAAAACGTTGTGAGTTGTGACCCCGGATGGGGTAGTTCTACGTGATCTGTGTTTCTATAGACCTTATTCGATAACGTGATTTTTGGACTCGCCTCCAGGGATTTGTTGTAAGCTGGGGCACGCGTACGTGAAACGAGTGGCAAGAAAGGCCCAGTTCGTACAAGGGAGTAGTAAAATACCGGTATTTTTCTACTCCTATGTTCCCACGCCGAGTCCACTGTGCACTGAGTGCAGGTCTCTTGCCGCTCCCTGGTTCCCGGGACCCTGGTTCACGTGATTGTGACGTTTATTGAATAAGGTCTACATGTATATGCGGGCATGCATAAATCAACCCTTCCACAAGGACGGCTCAAACAGGCAACCAAGGAGTGAAAATTTCGCTCCTGGGGCTAGGAGTGAAACGAAGGCCTCAATTTGCCAGATGAACCTTCTCCATCGAAACGAACGAAGGTGTCGAATAATTCTTTTACCAGTTCACAGTTGCCGTTCACGCGCACTCCCCGGGGTGGGGGGGGGGGGGCTACTATGCACTTGTAGTGATACTTACCGTAAGCCAAGTGGAACACGACTAGTTGACTGCACAGACTACAGTACAGTATACATGCACATGTATACAGTGAAGATCAGTGCGTGCATACCTGCCATAATCGTATGTTGACCTTCGTTCGAATTGAAAAGAGAGGGTCGTTTCGAAAAAGAAAAAAAGCTCGATGGAAGTATGATGCTGCTGACAATTCAAGACTCACTGAAGTCGCCTTTCTGGAATGGATCATGCACTCTAGGTTCATCCAATTGGATATGGACTCAAATCATTGTTACACCATTATTGTTTGGTTAGTTATTGTACATCCCATAGCATGTACAATCAACCTTGTGAATAATCTACCTCGGGTTTACAAAACAACTCGCAAATAACGACACAATCTTCAGATCTAGTGAACATTTGATTGCATACTTCCAACCTCACGAGTAACAACAATGCGAATAGCGACACTTTTCTCATTCACAATCGAGGGTCAGTATTCCCCAGGTTGACTGCAATTGCCAATCAAACAGGAGGGGCGAAAGTCGACCACGGCTGAAAAGGCATAAAGAAAAATTAATGTATATCATGAGCTAGATGGCTGAAGGAGGAAGTAGGTTTTCTGAGAAAGCAAGAAACAGAGGTGAATGAAGCACCAGGTCTGTCCATGCAGTGGATAGAATTATTGCATTGAAAGACAGGCTCTTTACATCAGCTTGCTACTATTATACCTACATTTGCTTTCTGCCTTTTTCATGCAGGATTCTGAAAGCTGGAGCAGCTCTGCTTACCTCGACCACTGAACTTACAACTAACTTCCAACCAAGTACAAGGCAATATTATGATGAATCAAGCACGCTTGCCATCATGTCATCATTGCAAAGTACATCGACAACATAGATTTGGTGCCGACTATGTATGATGTAGAGTGTGCTCTATGTATCTATACTACTGATTGGCCTACATTGTACTTATGTGGGCTGAGAGTAATCGATTGTGCTATATGGCAGTTTACTTGTATGTCATAGATGTTAACATTGCACACAGCTTCTGAAATGCTTTCTGTTGCACTGGCCTACTGCGGCCCACTGCAAATAGATTGTAGTGGCATGGGCCATGCCATAATTATAGTAGTATACTGGTACTACACCAACAATTTCACTGGTGCACTGTACTTACTGGTACGAGTAGGTCTACATCATGCACAGCCTTGTCACTGCTTTTCTCATTTTTTATTAATTTACTGTACTGTACACATTTTGGCACAGCTCTTCCACAAAGAGTTACTAGTATTTTCTTCTGCATACCTACTGTATACAGTGACCTGACTGGTAACATCTATGGCTGTGAAATCACAAATTTCTGGGTTGACAGCCTCGAACCTATACGATTTGTTTCTAAGAACGTGCTATAAGAAATTTTCTATTGAAGTATTCTACTGTAGCTCGCAGGACATGGAGTGCAATTACGTAAAGTTTGGAACACCACTCTTCTGTGATTTGGATGTCAAATTATGAAATTCAGTGTGTGAGGTAAACCCATGCATGGCATACACTGCTATAGTATGACTCGGGGTAAAGTGTTCCAACGCATACTCATTATAGTGAATAGTTGTGTGACCAACGTTGTTGCTGCTGGATAAATAGTACATATTCTGAGATAACTGAAGCTACACAGCCATCTAATGTTCAGACATGCATCGAAGGGGCCGTAACGAGATCTGCAAGGCATGATTCTATACCTGTATTTGATGCTCTCTAGCCTAGGACATTCACCTGCCTCATTTTCTCTGTGCTGCATTGATGAGTCCATTAGTAACTAAAGGACGAAACAGCATGCTGTCTGCAGATTGGTAATTGTGTAAAGACAGACGTGTATGTAGTGGTAAAGCTCAGATACATGTGCAACATAACAATCCCGGTGTTTGACAACAGCACAAACCTACACCGCAATTCTTAATTTTGGGCTGTGGTGTTCTTAGTATTCCAGGTTGGATGTTCTGTAGGCTTCCACGTTCTTGGGCGCACGACTTTACTGTGCCGAAGAATATTTTCAGCCAATGAACCCAGAGCTTGGTGGCAGATGAGTGCCATGGAACAGCCTTTTGCATGTGGCTTTCACTACATGCACATGTATAACGTTCAATTGATGCGGAAAAATCAGACGAGGACTTTTGCAGTTATGAGCAAGGTCCCCACGAATGGTCATGTCACTTCACAGAATACATGAACTGATAGAGTAGACCTCGGTCCCCTCAGAGAACGCTTGGGGAAGTCGGGTTCAACCATAGATTTATACTTAACAGAGAACGCTTGGGGAAGTAGGTTTCAACCATAGATTTATACTTAATATTCTTTACAACAAGGATCGATGTGTTCCTTCGGATGCCCTTTATCGACTTTCACACACTTCTCCTCTCTCCTTTCGTCATAAGCACCATCTCTGTACACTGGTTCATAAAATATTTCTTCATAAAACCCCTTCACACATAATGAAGTACAATTGGTTTTCGACAAGCTCAACCCGTAACGCGCTTATCCTGCCTCTTGTTAAGTCAGCCCGGTATCTAAAGCCCCCCTTGTTTTCCGGTTATTCTCATTGGTTAACTGGGGACATGTCCAAAACCATACTAAGTACTTGAGCTGCTCATGAGCCCCACAATTATCAGGCCCGCCGGTCTGGTTGGTCAGGTTATCACCAGACCAACTTGTTGGCCACCAACAAACGTTTCCTACCGTGGAGGACGTGTGTACCCGCCATGAAACTACCGGACCAATCAAAAACTGCTTCCGGCGGTACTGATTATAGTACAGGTTTAAGTTAAAAAGCGGCTCCATTTTGTCATACATTAAACCAACTCTGTCATTGCTATGCTACTCAAAAAGAGTAGTGATGTTTATTCACAAATGAATCACAATGCTATCAGAGAAATTCGATATTCTCCAATTTTAGGGGCACTGCAATACTATCCAAAATTAATGCTGCATGGTCATTGTTATGAAGCAGTCACCTCAGTACAGCAATTAAACAGGCTGATTATGTGAACGAGATTCACGGCAAATCTTCTTCCATCAGTGCTGTTCAGTCTTGAGTGGTCCACTGAGACAGGAAAACAACCTGTTCGGTCCTTCCATACGAGAAACAGAAATTGAACATGTTCCAGGGTGGAGGTGGCGAGTATCGGCAATGTAATGCACCTTTAGGCCAACATGACCATCATTCCGACATGGATTCTCAAACACCTTCGCTCGTGAGAGTGCCTCAGAGTGGTATTCATCAACAGATGGCAATCCTGTAAAACACATGAAAAGACATAGCAGCAACAGAAAGAAACCTAATGTTATAGAAACGAATTCGAAAAACAAAGTCTACTATTATTCTAATACAGTGAACCAAGGTACAACCACACTCCAGGAGGCAAGCAAAAGAGCATATAATCCGAAGGTTGCGATGCCTGTATGTATTGTATTTATGTATTTACGGATTCTCCACAGGCTAAATCGAGGGAGTCTTTGTCATGCCACACTGGATACAACATGCTACCAGAATCACTTTCCCCAGAATTGATGATCTTTTCTTAGGGTGTTATATAAGACACATCTGTAGCCACTTCATCTTGCTCACGAAATCATACACCACCACACAAACGGGTCCTTCGGCTATTATACTTTGGGTGGTACATGGTGATGTATGATATTGATAATCTATTGATACCATATTCAAGTCTGACTCTCACCGTGAGATCCTGGCAACAATATTACCTGGTACACGACATATTCAGACACTGACATAAGCATCTTTTTGGAACAACAGGTGTGCCTATCTGCTAGTGTAATGTGACACACATGCAGAACACATGCAGAATCAGTCATAGCTAATTTTACCCCCTCACTGTTGTATGCGCAGACTCCACTTCGCGGTGTCAAGTACTCTTCTTTCGGTGGGCTACTCCACTAAGGCGCTTGTCTAAAAGGACTCACATTCATCCTGCAAACCAACACGACTTGCATAGTTTTCACTGTCGGCCAAAGTGCGTGCATTGCACACATTGAGATTCACTCCCTCCGTACAGGCCAGTACAGAGCTGCCCACCAATTGAGTCTGTTTTGCGTACTCAGACTTCTGATTTTCCGTATCTTGCAGTGTTTTGCGTACTGCCGTGTACATTGCATGCATACTTGCACTGTAATGTTTTTTGACACGCACATGCATGTCGGTGGCTGCATTTGGTAGTGTAAAACATGTGTGACTTGCACTCACGACATTATTATTTTTGTGCTACATGTACATGTTGTTGTGGTACGGCATGCACTCGCTTTGGTACAAGACTATTCATCACTCAGCTTACACTTGCAATGCTTCTACACAGCTGATTGATCCTCTCCGATTTTCTATACCATTTGCTCAATTTCTGTAGTGCGCACAAGGAGTGATTTTCCGTACAAATACAGAAAATATGGAGGGCTGGTACTTGGTAGCACTGCTAGTATGGTAGTACCAGGTTAAGCTGGCTGGAAGATCAAATACTTCTTTGGTTCTTTCAGTCATTTTCACGACATATGTTTTCTTTATCATGATCCCCGGGGTGTGACATTCTTATGAATGCAGAAACTCAGTCTTTCTAACCGAGTCTCACGTGCAATGTGAATTTGTTCTTCTTTTCTTCACAATGCCATGTATCGATTCATCGCTTCTTCCCACCCGAGATCCTATGCAACAGCGATTTAAAGATTGGCTTTATCAAATAGTTAATTCAGAGAGAGAGGATCAGTTGTGGATGCTGTGACAGCATAGAGTGTAGATTGGTGTAAACATCATTGCCCAGCAGAACCGTATTCACAGGGATCTGCGTTTAGCATATGGAAGCTATTTTTTTAGAATTTGTACACGTCCAATAAGCCTGAAGAGAAGAACACCTAACTTAGACTGTCCTAACGTTATCGAACGCACTGCCAAAGTAAAAACAACATTTGAAATGCAAACTCGATTGTGCATGCATGGAGGGCATGGGGAAGAGACTGAGAGGGTGAAAGTGAAGGAAATTTGTTCCGAAATCAAGAGAATCCGAGGAACCCTTGCTGCATTCTTCAGTTCGATAACGTCAGTGGGTGAATCTCAGATGTGTTGTGTGCCCAGACATACAAGTACAGCACTAACCTGAGCATGAGAGCTGCTTGTCATCATCGTGGTCAGGAAAACGAAAGGACGAACGAGGAAGATTGCTGACCATGCATGACGAACAACTGCATATCTAGACGACAGACGGCTTGCCAGAATCAGTCTGGTGTATCTTCAGGAATCTTCTTTCCTAATCGCATTCAGCAGTCAGCTTCGAGGTCAAGAACGCGATGATATTTTCAGAAGGAATAATTTTCAAAAATTTTAAATTTTGGAGAAGAAGCTTCCTTTCTAAAAAAAAAGCGTTCCTTGCTTTCACGCAAGGAGGTGCCTTGCCGGACATGTCGTCGACAGCACAGTGTCGGCAGATCCACGTTTGTAGGCTGCAGACCCGGCAGACGTTTTGATCATCCCGGCCTGGTGGTGAGATTTTGGACCCGGGAGTACTAAAAAGCTGCTCGCATCCCAGGGTGCTCAGTTTCGCTCTACCCGCGCGAGTAGGGGTCCAGGTAACGGGCTCTCTTTCGCGGCCTGCGGAGCATAATATACCTCGGATGCATACAAGAACATGACATCTGATGACAGGTCACCAGAACAGAGAATGACGATGACCTGCCAGAAATTTCCGGTTTCGAAACCGGAAAAAGGCTTGACAGCTAGCTACGAAGACAAGTAGCCGTAGAGCTATCTGCGGTGACGTCGATCATGCATGATGGTCGATGCATTGTCGATCGACCCACGCGTTCGTAGTACTGTCACTGAGTCTGTACTGCATGCATGCACAAAAACAGTAATCATGGTAATGAGAATGAGATATGAAGCATGTGCATGCAGTGGGTCCAACGATCTTGGTGTCATCCCGGCATCCGGCTCAAGCCAAGGCCAAGCTGCAAGTGCAAGCCTGCAAGGCCAAGGCAAAGGGGGCCGGGGGTGATGATGCAGTGTACAGCTGATGTAGAAACAAAAGGCGGCAAGGATTCTTGCCGGTGCTGTTGAGTGTTCTGTTGTTTCTTTTCAGGTCCCGCACTTCTACATACCGAATGTGACACTGGCAGCATTTGTAGATTAGAATCAATAGTTCCGGCCTGGCACAGTACCTTGACCAGTGCAGTTCGCCCAGGATCCTCGCCTTCTCGCACCTTTGTGGATATCGTTGTAGAGAGTTTTGAAACAGTTTTGTGCGTTTGAAAGATGGCTGTGGACATCAGAGGACAGATGTTTGATGTTGGGCCCAACTACACAGGGCTGGAGTACATTGGAGAGGGCGCCTATGGCATGGTCTGGTGAGATCTTCTTCCTTGCTTACTGTGACAAGTCATGCGTGGTGAAATCGAAATTTGGACTGGTGACGTCCGGAACTGTCATCGTGTAGACATGACATTATACTTGTTTGCTCATCCCTCCCAGCTCTGCCACCAACCAGAAGACTGCCGAGCGCGTGGCAATCAAGAAGATTAGTCCCTTTGAGCATCAGACGTACTGCCAAAGGACGCTGAGAGAGATCAAGATCCTAAATAGATTTTCGCATGAGAATGTGAGTGAGCTGGAGGAGGGGGGGGGGGGGGGGCATTGGACATGAACTCGAAAGAGTGAATACAGTACAATGAAGTATAGTTTAAGAGTTGTAAATGTAATCCCAGCGTACTTAGGTACATGGCAAGTGGACTTCACTCTGGCCTATCTCTTTCTAAACAGTGAAATTCAAAATTCATGCGTTCCTCAGCCATTGCGCATCTTGTTTAGCCACATGCTGTGTGTAACCAAGTTGGAGTTGCGAGGATGCAGGCATATACCGTATTTCCCCGGTTACAAACATCCTGTCCCCAGGGAAAATCGCGGAAGAAAAGCTCAAAATTCCCGTACAGTTGTGCAACTTTATGTGAGTGGGCAGGAAAAACCCGCGAATTCACGAGTTGTCAAAGCAGTTTGTTGCAGCAAGTGGTGATGTGTGACAACATACCGTAGTGTAGTATCTTTCGGACGTGAAACATGCGGAAATATCAAACTTACACAAAGGCACGCAATGAAAACCTTGGCAAATTCCGCTGTAACTCAGAGTTTCATCGCTGAATCACCCATCAAACAACGATAATGGAATAGGAGGCAGCGCTGGTATATCTAAGTGAAGAGAGGTGTGACAATACGATAGCGGGAGGAGGAGTAAACTTACTGTTCTGCATTATGTGCAGACTTCCACTTACCTGATCCCCCCCCCCCCCCCCCCCCCGATAGCATATACCGTACCTGTACACTGTACTGCACTGGTAATATGTACTTGTACTGCTGCACCCAACACGTTTTATGCATGATGTACAAGTTACCTGGATGCAAGTACAGCTGCATTGGTTTGATACCGTGTCCTGCTTTTAAAGTCACTTCGCAGCCCCCCCCCCCCCCCCAATCATACAGATTTGCATGGATATCCGTGCATGCAATAACACACTGTTTGCCGTTTATGCTAGGGCTGGCGCTTTGCAGGTCACACACTCACGAAACTCTAGAGAGATCACTTCATTCACTGTCGTGGATATCTTGTCGGCAACTTCCAGTGCATGCAGTAAAACTATGGATTATGCTCATCGTGCAATTTTTGTGTTCTTGTGACATGCTGCTTCGTGTTGTAGATCATCAACATCCAAGATCTTCTGCGGACAAAGGAGATGGCAGATATGAAGGACATGTATCCTCTCCCATCTTTAAAACGTCTTTACTCTCTTTGACTTGCAGCTGGCAGAAGCCTAGGTGGCTACTGAAGTCTTTCCTGTTGGAGTGTCGTTTGCTGTAGATACCCTCCCTCCATAATTTTCACCTGACTGTAACGGCTGCCTTCCACCGTATTTTGTAGCTATCAGGCTTGAGTGAAGCCTAGTATGGGGTAGCTGACTACTATAAAAGCCATTATTCCAACGAGGCGCATATTATAACGATTTCCCAAAATTGACTAGTTTACGTGTACCAAAGGTAACGATTCTCACTCATTCTCAACGCTCAATACGACAGTAGATGTATCGATTTCTGTATGACGATTTCTATTTCAACGACAGATTGCTCCTCGTTAACTCGTTAGAGTTAGCACTTCGTTATATATATGGCTTTTACAGTACATTAGTAGCAGGCCGCTTTCTTTTACTAGTACCGTAAAGTATCGCCTTGATTTTACAGCCAGGGAAAGGAAAATCGTTTGGCAGAGTGCAGCGAAGTTTGTACGGTGTGAGAACCTTCGTGTACTAAGGTAACACCTGGCGGGTTTTTGTGTGGAGCTCGTGTCTGCTCGAAGGTACGGATTGACTTCACAACGTGCAATATGTGTGCAAGGTTCGTGCCGTGTGACCTACAGACAGCAGACCACCTCCACAATACGGCCACGAAAGGACGAGATGGTGGGGCGCTCTCGCAGTACTTTACGGTACTGCGATAGAGACATGACTGATGAACGTGTTTTCCCTTTACTTGACGGCAGTGATTGATGCACAGGTATATATCAGGTCCACATTGCCCTGCTCGCGAAGAGAGGGAGTCAACTGTATCTCAGTTAATCAGAAGTGTTCAATAATACCAACTATTTCGGAAGGCACTGTTGCATTCTGCTGGCTTTTCCTTGACCCAGATCTCTTCACAGCTACATTGTCCAGACCCTAATGGAAACTGACATGTACAAACTACTGCGGTCGCAAACGCTGTCCAACGACCACATCTGTTATTTCCTCTATCAGATTCTGCGTGGTCTCAAGTACATCCATTCGGCTAATGTGCTGCATCGTGACTTGAAGCCAAGCAACTTGCTGATCAACACCAACTGTGACCTGAAGGTAAACACATTCAAAATTACCTGTGGATACCTCAGTCTGCAGACAATACCGTTTCATCCTTTGTGGACTTGCCAGCACAGCACAGAGAAATGAGGCTGAGTGAGGTAGCAATGTGAAAAATATAATATCTCGAAGCAAAACTCCTGTGTGTTATGTATCTTGTAGAAGTTCGTATTGATATGGTATATGCTGAGTGTAGCCAGTACTAGCAACTTTATAGTCCATGTTGTGTGGTCACTATTTCTCTCTCTGTCTGTCTGTCTGTCTGTCTCCTCTCTGTCTTTCTCCTCTCTGTCTGTCTGTCTGTCTCCTCTCTGTCTGTCTGTCTCCTCTCTGTCTGTGTGTCTCCTCTCTGTCTGTCTGTCTCTCTGTCTGTCTCTCTGTCTGTCTCTCTCTCTCTCTCTCTCTCTCTCTCTGTCTGTCTGTCTGTCTGTCTGTCTCCTGTCTGTCTGTCTGTCTCCTCTCTGTCTTTCTCCTCTCTCTCTCTCTCTCTCTCTCTCTCTCTCTCTCTCTCTCTCTCTCTCTCTCTCTCTCTCTCTCTCTCTCTCTCTCTCTCTCTCTCTCTCTCTCTGTCTGTCTCCTCTCTGTCTGTCTGTCTCCTCTCTGTCTGTCTGTCTCCTCTCTGTCTGTCTGTCTCCTCTCTGTCTGTCTGTCTCCTCTCTGTCTGTCTGTCTCCTCTCTGTCTGTCTGTCTCCTCTCTGTCTGTCTGTCTCTCTCTCTCTCTCTCTCTCTCTCTCTCTCTCTCTCTCTCTCTCTCTCTCTCTCTCTCTCTCTCTCTCTCTCTCTCTCTCTCTCTCTCTCTCTCTCTCTCTCTCTCTCTCTCTCTCTGTGTCAGCCCATATATTGAGGCAAGAGTCTGCAGTCTCGGTCTTTTTGGGCATGTTAGCATTTCTCACAACTGTCTGCCGATCAAATACTTGTCCATTGAGTTCCAACCAATCTCTTTTGTTATGAGTAACTGTACGTACCATGCACATAGCGTGACATTTGAAATCAAACCGTGCAACTAAAGTACAACAGTTGCTTGTCACACGGGGATCTGCATGTGATCTGCACACCTAACCCCATCCAGTCACAGCAGATTCGTGATACATGTGAGGACACCTACTCCACCATTTGTCTTTGCTAATCGACGTGTAAGTCAAGATGGTCCCCATTCGAACGTCTGTACTCACCACCGATCGAAATCGGCATGTGCAATGCACCGCCAGTCAGACTGAATTTTCCGCATCTGTAGGACCTCCAACGCCCTCAAGGATTACTGTCCAGATGCAGCTCTTAAAGCGGTGGGAAGTGAGTAGATCAGACCCACGGCAAAGTGGTAACACATTGAAAAATATTCATGTCACCCTCATGCTAAAAGCCACAAGTTAATTCCAAGCAGGACTTGGACCTGGTACCCTCTATTTCTCGGTCATGGCCTAGACCATCCCAGTGCGCCTTCCGGCATCGGGATCCTCCTCATCTCTGCGTTGAAATCTTGCCCGAAAACATGCGAACCGCAGACTCTCTATTCACTAAATGACATGGAGCAATACTATGTGGCTGTTTGCCTGATTTAAAAAGTGGTGTTTCTTGTGCTTGCGTTCAGATCTGTGACTTTGGTCTGGCTCGTATCGCTGACCCTGCACATGATCACCGTGGCTTTCTGACGGAGTATGTTGCTACTCGTTGGTATCGTGCACCTGAGATCATGCTGAATTCACGCGGTTATTCAAAGTCAATTGATGTATGGTCAGTTGGATGTATCCTGGCCGAGATGATCTCGAACCGCCCAATTTTCCCAGGAAAGCACTATCTGGATCAGATTAATCACATCTTGGGCGTCCTCGGATCGCCAAGTCAGGATGACCTGGACTCCATCCTGAATGAGAAAGTAAGTATGTGATCCCATTTTGATCATGTGAACAAGCAAAGTACCATGGTTACTGCTTGATCAGTCACTCCAACAGGCCTACCCACGACGGCAAATGCTTGGTCATTGGGAAGTGTCCCTTGCATTAGATTCTAAACGATTACATGGAGTGCTGCATCCTCATTCCTGCTGTTGGAGTGCTGCATCCTGCTGCTGTTTTCAAGTAGCTAGGGTACTTTAGTTAGCCTGTCCACGGGAGGGAGCTGCCTTATTTATTCAACTCAATAGTGACTAGCTTGTCGCTGGTGCGGTTTCACTGATCTGCTCGTGAGGCTTGCACGGTGCCTGTGCGTGATTTGCCAGTGGAGAGTGAGTGCAGAACTTTGTAATGGAAAAAACTAAAACTAAAGAAAATTCAGGGGCTGCGTTAGACTGAGTCTCCACATCGATGGGAACCAGTTATAACGCCATGGGCTTCATAAATGAAATCGCAATTGGAGTATGTTTTGTAACAAAAATAAAGTAATAAGTACTATACTAACAAACTTACAGCCCAGCAGGAAGGGTGAACAAGTGAATTTAGACTGAAATTTCTGTGTGGACTTTGACTTTTATGGCATGGCATAGTGGGTGAGTCATTTTTGCATCTAAAATAGCTAGGAAAGCAGCGGTGTTTCGCGTATAAGGCCTGGCTTTTAAGGCGTTGACATACGGTATGCTGAATCTATTTTTCGCCGTTCTCCGAAAAGTGATATATTGGATTTATCGGGTTTGGCATTTTTAAAAGCTTTTCATGTTCTGCACAGTCATGATCACCCCCCCCCCCCCACGCACACACAGAGGCAAGAATACAACTCACTAAATGGCAGTTCGTGGAAAGCGTTGTTCAGCAATGCCGGTGCTTTGACGAGCGACCAGTAACCTCCCTGGTCATATGTCATCACCGTGTGCAGCTTACGATGGCCGACAGTACCGAACCCAAGCTGCTGGCTGATGATGACGCTGGGGAAGCTGGCTACAACATGCAAGACGCAAATACAGCTCCTAAAACGGTGGGAGTTGAAGATCAGACCCACCACCAAAAGTGGCGAACAGGATGTACGGTAATGCGAAGGGATAGGTGTATTGCATGCTGCAGTTGGATTTCTTGTTTTCTAGTGGCAGCTTATCCGTCCTTATGTCCCTTGCTTCATTCTGTCTATGCTCGTCGTATGTGATTTTTCAGGCAAGGAATTATATCCAGTCACTGCCACAGAAGGCACCGGTACCTTTCAAATCTCTTTATCCGAAGGGCAATGAACAGGGTGAGTGTTTACGGCTCAGCCTTGAACTTGTCTTGCACGTGCACATGTGCGTGTCTTGACAAATTCACTTATTCTAGCATTTCTCGTCTTGCTTTGCAGTGGCATCCAGACGTGTGTAGTACATGTTGAGGAATAGGTTGCACGCATCAAGATATTCTATCATATGGCTATTGCTTTCATTATCCTTGTCTGCTCCTATACTTACACTACTCTGAGAGCATGACTGCTAGCAAGAGCACACAACCCCCCCCCCCCCCCCCAAGAGTATGCAACTCCCACATACCCTGCTGTCCCGACAGAATTTCAAGTTGATGCCATTATTTATGATGCAATGCTCCTTGCACCAGTGATTTACAACATGTGTACGGGTGTCAACACATCACACGTTTTTCTTTGCAATAATTTGTACGGGATCAGATGGGCTTTGGTCCACCACAGGTTCCGGATTCGTCGGATAATCCGTGTGCAGTGCGCATTGCATCATAAAAATGACGTCAACTTGAAATTGTGTCGGGACATCACCCATAGTCGAGTTACACACTCTTGGTGGGTTATGTACTCTTGCTGCTAGAAGAGACCGATCGTCTATCAGAAGCCATTGCTCAAATTTGTCTCTAATCTGCTATCTGATGCGTGTTCAAGGCCTTCCTGTCTTTGGAGACCAGTTTGTTTTCACCCCAAGAACATGTAAGATGGAATAACCTACATATTCCCTCCATAAATTACTCATGCTCAACCAACCGCTGCACAGTAAATGGTACACAATTTGCAGTTGCACTTCACTGCTTTTTGGCTTTGCTGACTCTTCCCTTCCAGGGCATGATTTATCCGGTATCGCATCGCAGTTTGCGACGCAATTGCACCTACGTGCGATGCAATGTCAAAGTTGTTGAGCAAAAAACTGCGATGCATGCCGCACTTTGGTACCTGTACCCGACATGTACTGTGCACCCAGCACGGTACGGTAGCACACAAAAACCGCAACTGCACTGGGACCCGACTTGCAACAGTACTCAGTCTAGTCAGTACTACTACTAGTGCAAGTCTAGTCGTGTGCTAGTGTACTGTAGTGTAGTTACAGGGCTGTGCGGATCGTGGAGTCCTCAGATGCACCAGGTCTTGTAGTTTGTACTTACACCAGTTACAGTTGGCTGCGCGGATCATGAAGTCCTCTTCACTTTCTCATTTTTCTAAGTAACAGTTAGTAGGAAAATGTCTGTGCGACCAAGCACCGTCGAGAAATGGAGGTGCGAGTTAGACCCGAAGAAAGAGTGGATCGTGGTCGAAAGTGGCCCGTCCAGTGTCACCGGCATCCACTGCAGAGTTTGCCGTGAGAACGCATCGTCTCTTCGTGCTCTCCGGAATTTTAGTCGAGCGTTTGTGGATGGGATTTCGGGCAGTGCCTTGAAGAAAGACAACGTAGCAAAGCACTCGAAATCAGACATGCATGTGAAGGCGATGAATTTGGTGAAGAACAAGTCCATGTCGCTCGCTGCCATCTACAAGTCAACTCCGCTTGGCAAAGCAGTTGCCAGTGCGAACGCTGAGGACCGCTGTCGCGTGTCGAAGTTATTCGAGATCGCGTATTTTATTGCTGCGGAGGAGATTCCCTTCGCGAAGTTCCCTGCTCTGATCCAGCTGGAGAAGAGACATGGCGTGTCTCTTGGCTCGACGTACTGCACGGCTAACAAGTGCAGTGAGTTCACTTCGACGATCGGCGAAGCTATGCGCGACGACGTTGTTGAGGCAATGAAGAAATCACCATTTCTCACCGCGCTCATCGATGGCTCAACGGATAGCGGCGTTGTGGAGAAGGAATTGATTTTCATCTCCTTCATTTGCAATGGACAAGTCCAAACTCGATTCCTTGCCTTGAAGGACGTCAGCAGTGGGACAGCAACTGGAGTGATCGAGTGTTTGCGTAGTACTTTCCTCTCACTTGGAGTGGATGATTGGCAAGAGAAACTTGTGTGCCTTTGCATGGATGGTGCTGCAGTCAACATGGGTGTTCGTCGTGGTGTTGCAGCTCTGCTGAGGTCTGAGCACGCCATGCCCTGGCTTGTTGCAGTTCACTGCTTCAACCACCGCTTGGAGCTGGCAGCCAAGGATGCTTTTGGAAAAACGTATTTGGAAGATATATCAACTATGCTGATCAATATCTACTATGTGTACACAAAGAGCCCCAAACGCCTCCGTGATCTACACAGTGTTGCTGAGGAGATGGAGGAGCACATCATCAAGCCTCAGAAAGCTCATGGTACCCGTTGGTTGCAGCATAAGAGGAAGGCTGTCAAAGCCTTGATCAGCTGCTACCCAGTCATTGTGCAACATTTCCGCAACTTGGCTGAGGATAACACTGCCGACAGTGCAAGATTCAGAGGCTACTTGAAGCAGTTGACTAGCTTCAAGTTCGTGTGCAACCTTGTGGCATTCGACGTGATGCTAACACCGCTTGCTGCACTGTCTATTAATTTGCAGTGTAGCTCCGTCGACCTGCAATTCGCTCTATCCAGCTTGTCCGCTTGTAGGGCCATGATCCAGCGCATGCGCACTGAAAACGCTGTGGAAGAGCAGACACAGTTGCACACCTTCCTTGCTGACGTGGAGGAGTTCTTGGATGCTGACAATGATGGTGGTGATGACAGCGGCGTGTACTTCAAGGGTGTGAAACTTCACAAGGTGACACAGGCCAGCCTTGGTGCGTTCCATCAAGCTCGCATTGAGTATGCAGATGCCATCCAGCGTTGCCTGGATGATCGGTTCCGTGACGTTGAGCAGCAGCCAGTCTTCAAGGGTGTTGGCATCCTCAACACATCATCGTGGGCAAGAGAAGATTCGGCGCTCAAGGAGTTCGGTCTGGATACTCTTCTGTCTCTGTTTGACCATTTTCAAGGTGTTCTCGCAGCTGCAGATCGTGAAGCTGTTGTGTCAGAGTGGGACGCCTTCAAGTCATATTGGCACTCATCCTTGCATCACCTGTCCAGCAGTGATGTTTGGCTTGTCCTTGCGAAGCACCAGAATCAGTACCCGAATCTATGGCTTCTGATCCAGATCCTTCTCCTCTTCCCTGTCAGCAATGCTATCGTCGAACGAGGTTTCAGTGCGATGCGCCGCATTAAAACTGACTGGCGGTGCAGTTTGAAGCAAGAAACCCTTGACCACCTGATGCGGATTGCCATTGAGGGTCCAGACCCAAGCGCTTTCGACGTCTCTGCAGCTGTTGACAAGTTCTTCAGCACTCCTCGCCGCCCTGATGTTCAGCCCTACAAGAGAAAGCACGACGAAATCACCATTGATTAAGAAGTATTGTGCACTAACAAACGTTGCTGTTAAACGTTTTCTTATGATGTACTTCCCATAATCATAATAAATTATTTAAATTGTATTTAACTAAACTAGCGTTGCTCTTACCTTTGAGTTTCTGATTACTCCATTGTTATCCAAACGCGAAGACACTGCTCTCTCTCTCTTTCTCTCTCTCTCTCTCTCTCTCTCTCTCTCTCTCTCTCTCTCTCTCTCTCTCTCTCTCTCTCTCTTTCTCTCTCTCTCTCTTGATCATCAGTTTTAATATCACCAGTCCATTGTACTATCGAGGACCATCAGGTTGATCGATTGAAATTACCGTGCAAAAATCCGTTTTACAGTGTGCAGTAATGTTACCGGGTGCGTACGGAAAAATGTTTGGAAAAACTGCTACGCAAAATGAAAAACTGCTATACAAACGTGAAAGTGCGTAGCACTTTCTGCTATGCATCTTGGGTCGAGTAAATCATGCCCTGCCTTCTTCTTTTCTGGCATATGCGGTTGTTTAGCACTCGATGTTCTGGAGAAGCTGCTCGCATTCAATCCGGCAAACCGTGTGACAGTAGAGCAGGTTCTGGAACATCCCTACTTGGAACAGTACTATGACCCAAGTGATGAGGTAAGCGGAATCTCTGGCACGGTTTACTTTACCTTGTTTTTTTGTCATGCAAAAATCAGTGTTAGATTTGTTTGGATGAATGATAAAATCGCCCTGCCCTGCTCAGGGTCAGGAGTTCATGAGAGTGCAGCAGACCTGGAGGATAGCAGGGCCAGGTGTTGTGTCATTGTCGTTGATTCCTTCATCCGGCTGTGTTGTATGTGTGTGTGTCAAAATAAAGAATGGGAAAAATAGGGATTCACTGGCCACAAAAAGCCACTTCGGTCAGCTGTGTGGTGTTCACCAGGCTATCATAAGTGATGGTCAATTCATCAGCCTTGCAAGCTATGGAATGGTGTAATCCCAGCACAAGTTGCGATCTCTAACATAGCTATTCACTATCATCACTTCCACGATGGGCATGTGTGTGCGTGTGTGTGTGTGCGCACGCGTATGTGTGCTGTGCGTGTGTTACTCTTTAGCCTGTTGCTCCGTCACCATTCACCTTTGAAATGGAACTGGATGATCTTCCCCGAGAGCGGCTACGAGGTATGCCCCCCTTTGTCAGTTTGTGTCTGCATCAGGCATTGCCTTGCAACCTGACCACTTTTGTCATGGTTCCTCTAGATTTCCCAGCATAGGCTGTTATTTATGCGTTTGTTCTTCTTGTACCGGTAGTGCCTGATTGCCTTCTGTGTCAATCTTTCCGCTTTGTGATCTCAGAACTCATTTTTGAAGAGACGCTCCCATATTGCAACGCTAGCAAGTGATCGGCGGCATCTACTCTTTGATAGCCCTGACTTGTGTCCACACAACCGTGATCAGCTACCAACTTTAGCAGTAATGGGAGCGCTTGCGCCGCTACAGAACCAGGATTGACGTCGCGAGATTGTTCTTGTCATCTGGCGATGTGGTTCTGTCCTCGCGATTCTCATGTCCGTCGTACTGCCTGCGGCCAGCTCTCCTTGGGAACTCAAACCTCCATGCTCGCCCGCGCGTAGAGAGTCTTCGACCAGTGGTGTCATTCCTGAATCGCTACAACCCTTTTTGCGACTATCAACTCGTTTCCCAGCTTGATCTAATAGTGCCACTACTCCTATGCTGATGAGTTATATTGTTTGTTTGTTTTAAATTCGTAGTCCTATCTACTTTAAACCGGCGCCATTTTCTTCATGTGTGCTGTATTTCCCCAGCTACTAGTTGTTCATACTTGAGATTCGTTAACGTCCCAAGCTTTCTTTGCGCCGATCATGATGTCCTCCACCCGTGGGATATCTCAAAACTTCTTCCAAGCCCGGCTGCTTTCTTTCCTGTTGCGAGCCTTCCGCTCGCCAATGCTCTACTGCTTTGTAAAAATAATATCTCTTTCGTTCTCATTTTGTTTTTCCTGTCTCAGCCATAGATGTGCTTCCAGTCTTGTAGGTGTCTGTCTATGTATCATAGTTTCTGCCCATATATTTAGCTTCAATTAAATTATTCGGCTCATGGGCCATTGTTGCATGATGTGTGGTCATGATTCACATATTTTATTCTTCCAAAATGCCTGCAGCGAGTCTCAAAACATGCGTGGTTACAACAAAGCCATTGTAAGGGGTCGTTCATCATGTTCATACGTAGGGATAACAATTCGAAGCAAAATTCGTTTCATCGATGTCTTGAAAGATAGGCGTACTCAGTTCGCATCTGAGATCAGTTGTACCAAGAGTTCATGGGTTATGAACTCTTGGTTGTACCCAAACCTCAGACTCAGTCAGAGTCGCAGGTTCACACTCACAGCGGGTGTAGTCATGGTAGTTGTAGCATGACTGTTACAGAATGACTCAGACCACGCAGTGGTTGCCAGCTAGCTATTCTCTGGATTGATAGAATCAAGAGTACATAACCCCTAGGCCCTACTCTTGATGTACACTGGCCAATCGATATCTTTTTGTTCCGCCGTTTCCACTGGTTACGTAACTCCTTTTTGGCGATGATGTCATGGATAAATCCCAAGCTTGCAAAATAATTGCATGTTGGAAAAAATTCCAGTTTTGAACGTCCTTGAAAAGCGATGATGGCTTGATCAGTGATGCCTCCATATCTTCATTTGAAAGGCGACGGCTGGAGTCACGTATTGGGCATTTGATAGCACTCCGCGTAGTGACGAGACCCCAGCATTCCCTCTAGCCGAGGCCGGCTCCGTTCTATTGCCTGCCATGGCGTGATTGAAGACGGCATGAAACAGCAAGAGGAAGTTCATCCCTAATGGATTTAGAGCAGTCGCATTGTATGACACTCCCTTCCCAGACGAATATTTACAGCTCTTGTTTGCTGGAGTGGCCGCGTACACAATATCACCTGCTAGTAGCATCGCTGCATGGAAGCGTAGTCAGCTTGGATTACCAAAGAGTGGCAGGTCACTTGCGTGCGACAACCACGCCTATCCAGTTCCTTTATATTCCTGCGGATGCGGAGATAGTATCCATTGATTGTTTTTGCCAATCGTCTTGTAGAAAGCCGGTGATTGGCATTACCTTAGTGAAGCCAGGCCAGGAGTCAGAGAGTCGTGCGCACTTCCTGAACATTTACGGTGCTCGGCGTGACTGTAGTATCGCGGGGGATGAGAAACACCAGCAGCTGAGCCAGGCTTGGAAAAGCGTTGCCGAAGACTGGCAAACGTGTGATCTAGTGTTCACCCCGCTGAAGCTGCAGCATATCAATATTGGCGCGCCTGGCGAGGAAGACAATGCATTCATCCTGTCGGGCAGTGACAAGCGTGTGCATGTCTACCGGTGTTCGCAGGCCCTGCTCACTTTTCATGAAGATGATGGAGTCAGACGCCTGTTCCCAGAGTTTGAAGCTGCGTTCCCGGCGTGTGTTACATCCTTTGACGTGAAAGTGTATGAAGGGCAGCGCATTGTTGCCGTTGGACTGCAAACTGGTGATATGCAGCTGTGGCAAACAGACATCAGTGGCAAGAAACCTATTGTACTTAGGAAATGGTGCTCAGATGCTTTGGATGGCCCCCTAACCAGCCTTACCCTGTTCCTGCCCACTGTACCAAGGCTATCTGCTATGCCGGGACACTCCTTGCTGGCAACGTGTGCTGTGGAGCTGGCTGCAGTATTCCATCACACCAAGCACTGTGGATTTTCCATGTGCAATGCTCTGCAAGACTCGAGCAGATATGACAGCGTCATCTGTACCTGTGCCGTCGACTTGGACGGAGACGGGCGCACGGAAGTTGTCATTGGTACTTATGGCCACATGCTGTTATTTTACAAGCAACTTGGACCGCCGTCCGATCCAGGTGAGTTTCAGCTGGTGCATCAGCAACGACTCTCTCAACCAGTCTATGGACTGCTTTGGTGCGATCTTGTTGGAGATGGGTCGAAACAACTTATTGTTGTTTTGCTGAATGGAGTGGTTGTGTTTCAGCGGAATATGACAAACGCTGCCGATCGGTGTGTGCAGAGGCTTAAGCTGTGGGAGGAGATTGAGAGTATTCGTGACGAGATACGCTCGCACGGGGCCGAACCATCAGTATAGAGTGTTGTAGGTTTAGCAATCGCGCGAAGGTGCTTGCCCTTGCATACTGGTGATGTAGTACATGTATGTGAGTGGGCCCTTGCTCTCATACAACGGCTGGCACTACTCAGCGACACACCGCTTATTGTCCTCAAGTTGCATTTAGTAAACGGTGCATCCTGTGTTCGTTGAATCATCTCATATTGACAATCACAGAATCAGTTTTTTAGCTCTCATTTCGATCTTTTCATTAGAAACTTACCAGGTACTGGTGTGCCTCTTTTAAACAGCTTTTAAAATACACTGTACACTGCCTTTTGCTTGGCCTCTAGCAATGCCATTGTCACTTTGGACTTGACGGGCTGGTTGTCTTTCTTTCTCATGATGTGCTATGCTGGTCATAGCGGATTTTCTTTGTACATGTACAGTGTCGTATGTTCTCAGTTTCCCGTTTGCACAGCACTGAACAGTGTTGTTCCCTAGCTGTTACTTGCTAGCCTGTGCAGGTCCATTGTTGACGGGAGTTTCGCCCGTAGGACGAGTCTGACGCTCAGTTGCCATGTGCCGTATCAGTTTCATTCTGGGATGAATCCGTGCTAGGCAACGGAGTTCATATAAGAGTCAACTGATCACCCTGCTGCATGTTTACAAGTCATGTACATGCACGCATTTCTGACCCGGTACTAGCTTCATGTCGCGTTAATCACGTGACCTCTTGATTGAATTGTGTGCACTTACGATTCGTTGCGAAGTTGTGTTCAGGCCGTCGAGTTGAACTCATCCCAGCGGGATGCATGTAGCCAGGACTTCAGCATAACACCACAGAACCACAGAGCGTCCATCATGGCGTACTCCGTCCGTTACCGTAATATATGAGAGGTAAGTAACAGAATGCGGAGACGACAATGATAGATGATGGGGAGCTGCATAACCCGACACCATGAAATGATCAGGGATAGGCCATCCTTGGTGCTGTGCATAGGCCATCCTTGGTGCTGTGCATAGGCCATCCTTGGTGCTGTGCATAGGCCATCCTTGGTGCTGTGCATAGGCCATCCTTGGTGCTGTGCATAGGCCATCCTTGGTGCTGTGCAACACTGTACATGACTGTACCAGGGTACAGTAGTCTGTCCCCCGTGAATTCCGCGGCAGAATATCAGAAATTCCGTGCAGATTTCTGCGGCTGAAAACAGTAAATTCTGCGTTAATTCTGCAAATCCTTCCAAATTCTGCGGCATTTCTGCATGGGAAATGAGCGTAAAAACAGATTGAATTTCCGCAACACCACCGAATTTTGTTGTCCCTATAAATTCTGAACCAAAATTATTTGAAATCCTGGTCCAAAAATTGAAAGCTCCAAAATGTACCGTACAAGTTGATTTTGAAAGTCACAAGCGGGTTGGGTTGGCTGTGAAATACAGCAAACGCCTCCAGAAAAAGCAGTTTTTCTCTCTTTTCTGCAATATTCCGCGGGGTTTTCTGAATTCTGCGGACACTACTGGATTCTGCGGAAATTCTGCAATCCGCGGAATTCACGGGGGACAGAGTAGGAACGACGTAACGATATCTACATTTACAAGACTGATTCAATGTTACTAGTATTGTCCTAGCCGTGGTAGAAGTCAGAGACAGAGTCATGGCCATTGCACTTTTCTTTGCTGTCTACGTCTGTGACTGTGTACCGGAATGTCACTATGCAACTTTGTGCCCGAAGACTTTCACCTCCGGAGCTCCCCCCTCCCCTGCCCTCATACTGACCCCTATTGTCGTATACATAATGTGACCCAGGTGACATGACCACCTGGTGTCGACTGTCGACATGTCGCCGTGTCCGACGGACCTCACTCGAGTACGCGCGAGTCCTCGTCTCCATCAGTCCATGGTCTCCGCCGGTGCTGCCTGGCCATGGCCATGGCCTGCTGCTCGATCGCGTGATCATGGTGATCGATCGTGAGTCAAGCAAGTATTTTGCGCCCTGCACTGCCACTACTGTTATCCCATGCCCAGTTCAACACTACAGCGCTAGCGCCGTAGCGGCAAGGTTTCATTCATATCCATGGTAACACTACAGCTTTTTCAACTAGCGAGTAGATCTGCGCTTGATGCCTGAGTAACCTGACAGTGACACCGTCACTGCGACAAGGCCAACGAAAGCCCCAATAATAAGGCAATAACTACAATCGTACAAGTCAAGGACATTTCCATCGACTGGTCGAGTTCATCAAGTCAGGATAGTCCAGTCTCAAGGCTAGGCTATCCATAGTAATCACAACTAGTTAGAGATCTTGTCTTGGAATAGGACACAGTGCCCCTTTCATCTGCCATATTGATAACCAGTCGGAATCAGGTCATGAAATACTGGTACTATCCCAAGAGTTTTGAGAACAGATTTCGATGGCAAGTTCTCACAGTTTTGATCCCGCTGTTGTCACATAGCCGCTAACTACGTGTAGCTACAACCGTAACTAAGTGTTGCTTTCCTGCGAACGCACTAACCACTAGTATAAGCCGTCCAGCAACAGTAACAGCAGTAGCAGCAGCAGCTGCAACTGAAGGAAAAAAAGAGAGGAATCATGTCATCGGCGGACAGTGGACGAGACAACGATAGTGAAGGTGAGCACATAGCTACCTGCACAACCTCTATACAGTATGTGATCAAACCAGGGGCGTCGGAAGGTATTCGACATTGGTGCGGCCGCATGAGTTGGTTGGGGTCCAGGGTCCCCTCCCCCCCCCCCCGGGAAAATTTTAGGGAAGCTGGGCCCAAAAAGCCCATATTTCATTGCTTCAAAAGTCACAAGATGAAATTATTGGTGCAGCTTTGTCGGACCTGCCGCACCGGTTCCGACGCCCCTGCAAACTCCTCTCACTGCCACAGGACTGATATGGATTCAGCAACTTGAATGCTGAATAAGGGTAGCAGTATAGCAAGATTCGAATTTCTCTGAGTTTCATGCACCGTGCATAGCAGGATAGCAGTGGAAAGCAGGTAAGATGTTTGACCTAACCACCCATCACCCATGCATGTGGTACGAGTATGGTGTTCTCAGAGCAAGGGTGCACACTGTATCTCCGTCATGTGCATGGTACAAATCAATCGGTGATATCCAGTCGACCGGTTATCAACTGGGTCGCGTGGTGCTGGCTATTTCCATACACAGCAGCACCTGGACTTGTAGTCATTTCATTGACCCTTTCTGGCCAGTGTTGCAGTACACGATGTACTGTGCTGCATGGGGTCGGAATTAATTTTCATTTAGGGTAATACTAAAGTGAAGATCAATTCCCCAGTACACACACATGCACATACGCATGCATGCGCATGCACACACACACATACGCGCTCACACTCGCACATATACACACACACACACACACACATCCCCCCCCTCCACACACACACACACACACACACACACACACACACACACTTGCCTGTGATTTCTCTGTGTGCAATCCCGGGTGCGATTGCTGTTGTTCTCACTTTCCTAGACTTACTACTGGCTGTAGGTGGTGATGGGAGAAGTGAAGAGCAAGCTGAGGCACCCAAGCGTCGGCGGCGCAAACCAAAAACAACATCTCGACCAAGCTCTGCAGAGCACACCCGGCAGCGACCTCTTCCTGAGATGTAAGCAGTAGTGTACCTCATCCCACTCATACTTACTGTATGCGGCTACTCTCTTTACATAAGCCGATCGGCAAAACTGATGTATCAATGTTACTCATAGCGGTGTGTGTTCGCATGTGTGTGTATGTGTGTGCGTGTGCGCGTATGTGTGTGTGTGTGTGTGTGTGTGTGTGCGTGCGTGTGTGTGTACGTGCACACATGCATGCGCGTGTGTATGTGCGTGCGCATGTGTGTGCTTACATATTACAGTTTACATGAGAATCAAACACCTGGAACAGATGAAGAAGAAATCCTCGTAGAGAGGAGGGAGACAGACTCAGAAGGTGACAGAAAACTTCGTCATCGTCGCACGCATGGACAAGTAAGGGAATGTGAGCTCGATTGCGCATACAGCAGCCCCAGAAGGACGAGCTATCACTTTCCTGCATCAGTGGTTTCAACTACATGGACACCTGCCGAACTATTCTGATGGCCATGTGTTAAATTTAATTTTACTATCAATTTCGACTATTGGTTACTCCTTCTTCATGTTATCTGTTTCTCTCCAGGGAACGTCTGCACAGTCTGTTGCTGAGTCATCAGCACAAGACCATCTTGCGCATGAGATAGATGTGGTGGATGTGCAGGATGCAGATGATGCAATGCTCCGTGCTGCAACCAGTTCAGGTAAGGAGTTTAATTGACCTCTTGTGGGTTAGCCCATTGCCTGCACAGCCAAGTTAACAAGCGAGGCAGCTTTGGATTTAGGGATCCTGTTTTGAAGCATCTGTTTCAAAGCTCAAAGCAGAGGCATATGTATGATACTAAATGGAAACAATACCGGCCAAGGCAGAGCTGCAACAAATAGCTAAATATAAATAAATAACACCAGTTAGGAGAAGGTATTTTGTATTTGTTTTATTTTACACCGCAAATCAAACGGACCATGATGCCCAGTATAAGGTCAATGTGTACACGGTAATGATGGTGTTAATCAGGGAAACAGGAAGGGATGGTGGGAAAAGAAAGTCCGCTGAAACAAGATGTTACCCAGAAAGCCACACCGCTTGTACCCAATTATCACTCTTGTGCTGTGACGGCGATATGAGCATTGCCCGCCATACTGTTTCGTGGGACCTTTGAAACGTTAATGGATGGCTCAGAGATGTCGGAACTACTTCACATTTGGTGTGACCAATCCTAAGCTCCTAACCCCCATGTTAATGCTTTGGAGGATAGCATCTAATGGTAGTAGGCTTAATCTGAGTTGGTCAGTGTGCCGGCAACTGGCTTAAAGTAGTTTAAGGTGATATGACCACTGCATTTTCATTCCTCCTTCCTTTTCCTCAAGTCCTCACGGAGCGATCATTGACCTGGTCATTACGGTTGGTGGTGTACTTAAAGCACATGTTACATTGAGCCTGCCGAATCCACTGAAATCCACCGTCCAGCTTCTGTCTACACTGCTCTGCTGTAATCAGAACCAGCACCGCTGACGTCCATCACGCAAATAGTCATACACGGAGCAAGTGTGCTGAAGAGCAGTACTAAGCTACTGCAGCCTGTAGTCAGAGTTAGTATCGTTGACTCTGAAACTGGACAGCTATTTCCACTACTACACACGTGAGTAATGTTCCTACGCAGGAGTCGTATCTTTACTACTACATGTATTAGTACAGTATCGTTGTGTGCCACCATCATTCTATCTGTATCCTAGAGGTAAGAGTATGAGTAATGTACACCACACCTGGCAAAATAGTGGTTCTGAATACGCACCTGCTCATACAACCCTCTCAACTTGAAGCTTCACAGTTCTAGCAAAGAGTGCTCTTCTTACCACCACCAGTTTGCGCATGGTTCCTGGCCGATACTTGGCTGGCATTGTTGGCATAGCTGGCGGGTACATCGGTTCGCGCCGGGCACATAGATCATGATGCAGTGGCTCGATATCACCGATACCACTAGCTATGTGTTGACGAGCACTAGGCGCAGAGTGATAGTGGTGGCGATAGAACGAGCGCTCTTTGCCAGAACGTTGAAGGTTAGAGAGCGTTTCATGGGCAGATGTGCATTTACGACCATTTAAACTGGTGTGTTTCACCAATATTACCATGATTACCCTAATCTATATGATGTTGCATTTGAGTCTTCTGCATATTATTCGACTTATAGATTTGAAAAAACCCTCCACATTGTAGTGGCAGTCTCATTTGCTGAATGTCACTTACTTGCTGAATGTCACTTACTTACTTGCTGATCATAGTGTTCATCTGATATGCCATTGCTTTGTTGTGTGCTCAGGTCTGCTAGAGATAGAAGCCTAGGTGGTGTGTCACACATTCAGCCGGTACAGACCGAGCCGTTTCCTTTACATCGACACAGGTGCGTTTATAGATCGCTTTGCTACACTAACTGCGACTGTGAAGCTGGCTATTGGGTTCTCAACTGGTCATCGGGTGTTCCTGACCTTGTTGACTGGTCATGGGGACTGTGACTGCACACAGGGTGATGGCTTGTTACACGGGCGACTGGGCATGGGGCTCCTGACTACCAGTATGCCTACCGAAATGAAGGTGTGTATGGATGGAGCAGTGTGTGGATGAAGCAGTGAGTAGATGAAGGAGTGAGTGATTGAATGATTGAATGAACTAACTGGACCCTGCCAATTATAAAGGTGCCTTGGATGAAATACTGAAATACTCGTATATGCAATTGTGTTCCAATCCCAGTTGGCTGTGACCAGTCATTCTTAGTCCTATTTACCTTTAACCACTGGTAATGTGTTTTGCTTGCAGAACATTAGCACCAAAATGGCAGGAATCACTCTTCATCCGAGAAGACATGGAATATTTCCTCGAGTCTCCTAACACTCTCTTGTTGTTTGAGGTGAGATATGTTCACACTACACTTAGTTCTCGTTTACTAGAACGAGTCACCTGCAATGTGCTCCTCATTTCACTCCATGATGTTGCACTGCACTGCAAAGTAGCTAGACCAGTGGCATGTTTGGAGAGCAGTTGCTGGTAGGTATTTCTTACCACCATTGCACGGTCATTCTTTGACTTGGAAGGAGTGAAGTGCAGAATTGTGACATGCACCATCACTTATACCAAAACCACTGTCCGCCAGGCTGCAATGTACTATGGTAAACTGACCGAGGCTAAGTCTTGTTTCCAGACGTTTCCACAATATTAATTTTGGTACTTTTGGTGGTATTCCCGACCACCTTAAAATAGATTCCACCTGGTGACCTCAGACTTTACTTGGAGGTAATTTCTTCCACCAGCATTCCACATAGATGCTGAAAATAAGTGTGTTTCCAGTGGTATTTCTTCCATAGGTTTTGACAATAGAGTGGATGCTGTCTTGGCCACTACCCTGCTCCACGCCATATCTTACTGACCGTAACTATGGCTTCACCGAAATTCTCCTGTCTTTCCATCTTCATATGTCACCATGGTTCTATTTTCAGATTCTTGATGCTCGCACAGTGAAGAATGACCCGCAAGGTGCACTGTCGTTTGTCCACAAGTTTCGAAAGAATTTCAGAAGTCCGTCAGACCCCAACTGGCATTGCCTAGCGTGGGCATTCTTGAAGGTTCGTGTGTCCCGTTGCCATCACGTACTGACAATGCATTTACCAGTAGCCTTGGCCTAGTCTGGTCAGCAGAGTCACGTGCACGCCTTGCCATATTTCCGTTGTGTGTAGCATTTATTATCTTGTGGCACTGCTTGATGTCTCTGTATTGCACAGTGCCATGTCAGGAATTATACTCACTAGATCTAGTCAACCTTTTGGCTTTTTCACAATGGCACCTGTACGTAAAGCATGGCTGCAGCCTGTTGCTGCTAGTGGATGTGTCACCCTGCTCACGGTGAAGGAAACTACCTAAACGGGCATGTAGCCATACAAAACTGGATCCAAGTGGATCCTTAAGTGAGCGTTCTCATATATGGAGCCGGCTGTGACGTAGCACTTTCAAGCCCTAATACTGGCCTCGGCTAAATATCTCATGATGTGTCTTTCTTGTTATCGTGCTGCTGTTCTGTGTGTTTCTCCGGATGGTTAGCTGAAGAGCAATTCTGTGGGTCACGGTAATACCAGGGATCCTATTCAGCTTCAGCTGTTCAAAGTTCCCAAGATACTAACTATTCACCAATCTCTTTCAGACAACTCCACACCGCAGGTAAGGTGGCTGGCAATTGGAAGTCTGGGGAGGGAGGGAGAGAGGGATAGACACGGGCTCAGACATGCACTGTGCTACATGTATTCTGTGATACTTTACCATCGGTTTTAATAGTGCATTGGTGAAGAATTCACAAATCGAATGTCATGTGAAGAAGGGAGCGGGGGATTAGGGGTAGGGGTGGTTGGGGAATTGGAGGTGGTAGTCCCGGGGCATTAACAACAGGTCTAAAAGCATGTAGCGTACACGTTCATGTACTGATTGAAGCTGGATGATGATTTGGCTTCAGGTGTTTCGCTGGTGGAAGAGCTCTCAGCGTGTCACCTACGCTGCCTCACTGACGGTGACCGTGAGGGAACACGTTCTGTCTTCTGATGAAGTTCAGGCTGCACAGCAACCTGCTGGACCAGAGGTAGCGACAATCACCAGCCACCAAGAGGTACATTGTACACATAATTATGGTCCTAAAAGAAAAAAAAGAATATACATGTGGAATCCTGATAATCCGAACCTCAAAATGCCAGGAAAAAACTTCTAATTATCCGGACATTCCAATTATCCAAACATGAACCCACAACACAACATGTATGTCAACATGCTCCCATGGTCACGAAGAGTTGCGCAATCGACCTTAGACACAGATTTCGCGGATACTGAACTGACCGGCACAGCCTGCTCATGCAAACTGAACTGACCAGTACAATGTACAGTGAACTTCGAATTACACTTTGCCAACTTCGAATTATCAGCACAAATCCCACACATTTTCTATGTAAGTGGAATCTGTGGGACTTCGAATTAACCGGACATATCCAGTTCGAGGTTCGAATTATAAGAATTTTTTTATGAGGGACTCGTATTGATAGGAATCGGTCCTGGAAAAACTTCTAATCAAGCGGTATGTTCGAATTAAGCCATATTCGAATTATCAGGATTCCACCTGTACCAGGGAATCTGTGTTGGTATAGCATTTTGTCATCAGAACCTACACATACTCGGGGCCTGTACAATTCCCCACTGTTAGCCCTAGCGGCAGATACTCGCATGTCTGTGAAGTGGGTGATATTGCCTAATTGTTATCACGAAAAGATTCAAAAGAACTTGATGTGTTATTGGCCAACCGCCATAGCTCGAATTTGCACTGCTATCCACTCGACACATATTGAAAATTCTGGTATGAAGCTGCAGTAAGTGTCCAAGTGGATTCTGAATCACAAGAAGAAGCTATGACGATGAACACATAGGCACATTGTTCTTTTCGGAATGTTCAATACCTCTCGTGCTCCTTTAGGTTTTATAGTGTACCAGCGCTGCGTAGTAGCAATGAACCACACTTAGGACAGTGCACAGAGGAGTGAGTGTCTTCTTCTGTGCCGTTGTGAACACTGTGTTGAAACGTACATCTCCATGTTGCTGTGGTATATGCGCGGGCTCTGCATCGTTGCAGGCAATGCAACATTCAAATCTATCTCATTTGTTGTTGTTGTTGTTGTTGCAGGATGTGGCAGTGGACCTGCGGAAGGAAACGATTCAACAAAGACAACATAGTAACTTCAAGTAAGTATCCATCGGGCTTCATCCCACCATTCAAAGTTTGTTTGTTTTTCTCTTTTCTGAGGATGAGAAGGTTTTAACCTGGAAGCCTATGGTTCTGCCTCAAGGCACTGGGACTAACCGTTCAGGCAGTGCCTATACCCTGTGTATGTGCGGCCGAAGTATGTCCTACATGTAGTTTTGCAAGTGGCTGTACATTACCAAAGTTTTTTTTAAAGAAATACACATCATGGTGTGTAACGTTATATTGGCAATATGGAGTTGTACAGTTGTATTCTAAAAGAAGGTTGCTCCCAGTGTAGATCGGAAGCTTCCTGCCAATCTCTCTCTCTCTCTCTCTCTCTCTCTCTCTCTCTCTCTCTCTCTCTCTCTCTCTCTCCCTCTCTTTCTCTCTGCTATTGGCGCGCCTGGTTGTGATGAAGCCGAGACCCAAGGTCGGCAGAGCATCCCAGACCACGCCACCACTCCCCTTATTCATGGCTCACACATGACGGGTTTACGTAGCTATAGTAAAAAAAATAAAAAAATAATAATAATGTAGAAAGGAAAAAGACATTATGGATACGAGTTAAGAGTAACTCTCCATCACTGTAACATGATACTTTATACAGTCAGAAAGTGCAATAACTAGGCACAAAACTGACAGAGTACTGAGACATTCGACGTCCTGACACCTAGCTTCAACACATCTCCGTAGCGCTAACCGACAGCCTTCCAACTTGGAAGGTTCAAGGTTATGGAAAAGACCAAAGAGGGGAAGGCAAGCGCAACGAAAACGATGTCTCAGTACTCTGTCAGTTGTGTGCCTAGTTATTGATGGAGAGTTACTCTTAACTCGTATCCATAATGTCTTTTTCCTTTCTACATTTATTTATGGCTCAACATCCGAGTTTCAAATAATAATAATAATAATTTTTGCGGATACTTTCAAGTCCGTCCTGTATAGTAAGTTTCACTGATATCAGTTATAAGTGATATTGTGTAACTTGTTAGTTCCACACAGCTGTCTGGAGATTGAGTATGTCTACACATTATGCATCGAGGTATGGATATAAGTATGCACACTTGTGTATTTGTATGCTTTTGTATCTGAATGCGTTTGTTCAGTCTGGCTCCATGTCAAGTTCCGGAAAGCTCAGTGAAGTGGAGTCGTTTTCCAGGACAGGTACATTTTGACCTCTATGCATCACCCACTGCACCACTACAGGGAACTACACCACTACAGGGAACTACACCACTACAGGGAACTACACCACTACAGGGAACTACACCACTACAGAGAACTACACCACTACAGGGAACTACACCACTACAGGGAACTACACCACTACAGGGAACTACACCACTACAGGGAACTACACCACTACAGGGAACTACACCACTACAGGGAACTACACCACTACAGGGAACTACACCACTACAGGGAACTACACCACTACAGGGAACTACACCACTACAGGGAACTACACCACTACAGGGAACAACACCACTACAGGAAACTACACCACTACAGGGAACTACACCACTACAGAGAACTACACCACTACAGGGAACTACACCACTACAGGGAACAACACCACTACAGGAAACTACACCACTACAAGGAACAACACCACTGCAGGGAACTACACCACTACAGGGAACTACACCACTACAGGGAACTACATCACTACAGGGAACAACACCACTACGGGGAACAACGCTAGCAGTAAACAAGCAACACTACAGGCCACAACACGTGCAGCATGATCATTGAAACAGTACCGGCGGAACATGCTTCAACACACTAGTACACCAATACCAATGGTGTCACGGTCAGCGTACATGTATATTATCAGAGCCTGTGCGTGCAGCTCCCTCCACCTTTGTGTCCTTCAACGGTCTAAGATTGGGGCCTACGGTTAAAGGCTTTGTTGCATCAGGGAGTCAATTCCTGTCAGCCTTCCTTTTCATGACAATCAGTTCTCCGCGATCACGAAGCAGTCACGGTAATACTGTGAGAGAACATGTCAGCCACACATCATTGATAGCCTAAGCTATAATAGAAACAGGTGTTAGGAAAGTTGTACTGATACAAGATGGAATACTCCAGTAACTTGTTTGTCTGCTTGAGTGCCATCGATTCCTTTTCTGTCGCATTCGTGGCTCCACTGACATCATCGACACCGCCGCCTTGTCCAATCTTTACTGTGCAGAGCTGTGATGTTCCCAATAAGGAAGTGCTGCGGCTATCGAGTGGATCACATGGATGTACAGTCGTTAAGTTCTCCCACAGCGGAAGGTAAAAAACGAACCATTGTGCTTGAAGTATTCAGCATACCCCTTGGGATAGATGCATGGACGTGTATGCATGCTTGGGTAGGATATATTTTCTTACTTGATTTTATCCTGATCTTCAGAATGCCTATTGGGAGCTCATATCGGCTATTCATCATTCTGTATATTGAGCAAGTTTCCATGAAACAGATGCCTGTGAACACTACTCAATGCGATGGCTCACGAAGATCCCCGAGGTGCGGTGTCAAAGAGCATTTCTTCTTCTTAATTCCACTTCTTCCTCTGCAGACTATTAGCAGTGGCCTGTGGACAGTCGGAACTATTTGGAGCAATATTATATGAGGTAAGTTTAGACCTCTTCGTAGCAGTTTTACAATATTGATGTAGAGTAGACTTCGTAGCAATCGTTTCAGCCTGGCAGGCAGTTTCAGAGCTTCACTTATGAGATTGGCGAGGTCAAAAATGCTATTGTCCAGATAGGATCATATTTTGTTGCAGCTTGGACCCGAGGTGAACTTCTGTGTGTGTGGAATGCATGTAGATTCCAGGAGGTAGCCCACGGGCACAGTTGCTTGCACATCACAATATTGTGTACGACTTGTCCTGGTCAATGGATGATGCATTCCTTGCAACGGCATCAGCTGATGGCACTGTGCGGTAAGCCTGGAGCTTAGATTTGATATGCTCATTTATACCTTAGTTACTGTATGCATGCAAACACAGATTGGAAACATCACAATCATGACGTGTGAGCTGTGAAGAGTTCTGGTGCATGTCGTGTAGCTCAGTACCTTTTCCAGGGCAAGAGTCATCCAAGCTGGGAACAGGAATCATTCTCTTCAACTTTTTTTGTATTCAGCACAGGCGAGAACAAGCTTGGTTTTGATTAGGCAACTGTAACTTTATGCTGGTTAAATCATTCCCACTTGTCTCTTCCTATCTCCATGCTTCCCTGTGGTCTGGTGTACAGCATCTGGAACATGGTGGAGCCAGGCAATGTTGACTGCAAGGTTTTGCCGCATCCGTGTTTCGTATACGCTGCACAATATCACCCGGCCAACACCAATCTGCTTGCCAGTGGTGGATTTGACAGGCTGCTACGTGTGTGGACAACTAGTCAACCTGCACAGGTACGGGATTTAGCACCTTTCCTGTAGCTGTACAGCACTGGAGGATGGTCTGTTTCTCCCGGCTAACTCCACTTGCTACAATTGGCAGATGTAACGTTACTCAGTGGCACCTTCTCCCTTGTCAACATACTGCTCGGTTCACGTGTTCATGTTTGATCCGGTGAGCATGGCTTGAAAATGGATCACAGCCTGTTCTCGTTCCTGTGCTGCTCCTTGTCTAGCTGTGCCAGGAGCTGGAAGGCCATGTCGGGATGATCAACACGCTTTGCTTTGACATAGAAGGTAATCACTTCTGCCGCCGCTTAAAGTTCTGCGATATGTGAAGGAATTTTGGGTAGGAGAACAGTGCCTGGGCTAGAGTCTGTGTATGCAGGGAAGGGCTGTGTCTGGGGTGGAGAGGAAAAGTCTAAAGAAAACTTTCTACGGCTGACCTTTGTGATGCGATAAACCAACCGGCGTTAGAGTAGCAGTCAACTGTTTAGCTGAAAACCGCAACCGCTCGAGCCCTGGTGATATCCCGTGTTTGGTAGTACATGTATACGGCTAAGACTAGACATTATCAGCATGTGTATGTGTCATGTGTATGTGTCATGTGTATGGCTGTCATGTGTATGACTGTCATGTGTATGGCTGTCATGTGTATGGCTGTCGTAATGTGCTAGCATACTGTACAACACCTGACGTGCTAAGCTCCGAAGGCAATGGCCACAATGACTGCTGTACTCAGTCCTCCGATTAGCTTAATTGAGCCCAGCTTGCTATTGGTATGGTGACACCGTTGTCTAAAAGAAAGTCAGCTAGTGGCATTGGATGTTGGTGTGCACGGTTGTGATGGATGTGTTCTGCGGCTGCTGTCTGCACCCTGATGTCACTGTTCAGGCCAACATCTGTTCAGTGGTGACAGTGAAGGGACAGTTATTGTGTGGAGCTCCCCAAGTCAACTTGGTATGTTGCGCATCTAAGCATGTACTGAGTGTAGGTACACTGTAGTTCAATTCTATGCATCCTGGTAGTGCAGTACACTGATGGATCAGCAAACACTGTGTGATATGAATCAACACAGGCTTCAAATGGAGAGCTGTTCAGTTCAGTGCATTACGGCAGAAGATGTGTATTGCCCAGGTGACTCTTGTCCAGCACAGCACAACTGAGGTAGAAATGCATGGTTAGGCAGGCGTGTCTGTCTCGCTTGCAAGGCACATTGTGTCTTCTTTTCAAACTGATCAGAACTGAGAGGAGGTGAGCACCATCCTCACTATGTCAAACTCACTGAAGCAGGAGCGGGTGTCTAACACCTCTTGCCTCTATGGTCAGAATTGACTATGGGCTACCAGTTTCCCTTGTCCATGCATTGTGTCCCATGCCATGCCGGAATGCTAACGAGTTCATTCCCATCCGTATATTCTGTTTCTATGGTTGTGAACTGTAAAGATGAGCAATGGTGCAAGATCAAGGTGCTTCAAGACCCTAAGGCCGTTGTAAGTGACGATCACTATCATGCTTCTCGATTTATGCTCCTCTAAGTGCTATACCCTGCCGATTTCAGGAAACACACCAGCATACATCCAGGCTGGAAAAGACTGGCCCTTTCAAGTCCATACATCCAGGCTGGAAAAGACTGGCCCTTTCAAGTTCAGACATCCCATTCACCTAATCCGGTGGTTTTCCTGCAAGAACTAGGCTTAGCTCATTGTAGTCTACTGAAGATGCCAACATCAACTACCCGTTCTATTTTTGTACCTGGAAGCAGTCATTCTTATACTGATAGTACACTGCATGTCACCACAAGTAAATCACCATGACTGTGCAGCTCCTGTCTTGAGCTACTTTGAAGTGCAATCAGGGACTCGCCCATAACGTGATATTTTTTATTGCATCACCTCCCTGATGATGCCCTCCTGGGTGAACATTTTGCAACACTCAAATCGTGTGTGGTGTAGCTGAGGACTGTACATGTGGCACGGGTTGGAGGTTTTTAGTGGAAGGAGTCACCCGCTTTGGCGGAAGTGTAATCAAATGCATAGGCCTTTCCACGTTTGTTATGCATCATGTACATGCGTACGTTTTGTCAGTTCACCATGCTCAGGAGACATGTATGTATAATTGTTCTGCTTTGGTTGCCATAGCTGCGCAGTGCAGGCTTAACATTTTGCACTTTTGATCTCTGGTTACGCACGATTGCATCGGTGAGCCAAATGGCCGTGAAAGACTGTTGTCATAAAAACATCGTTCCACCATTGGAGAAGGGATTGCCGAGCTACACACTCTTGTTGTTTAAACTCACTTAGTGTGTGTACATTGTGCAATGTACTCTTGATGTCATTATTCTACAGGGTGTGAGTGTAACCAGTCTCAGCATGGCAACAGCACATCCCTACATGCTGGTACAACGGCGAAACAGCAGCATGCAGATGTACAATAGTCAAACGTGAGTTGCAGGCGGCATGTAGCGTAGTCGAGACTGCTTTGCGTGAGTCATTGGGTGCACAGAAAGGGTCAGCAACAGTTGACCTATAAGTGCATTTTGCTGTTGTCCGCAGTGAAGCTCCCTCGTTGGACGTAAAAGAATGCAAACACATGCGCACAAGGAACCATGGAACGTGTATCCTCTGGATCTGTGCGACTAATGGCGTTATAAAATATTATAGACTTTCAGCAAGTGAAGCCTGCTTACGTAAAGAACTAGTGGCATGCCTGTTTGTGTACTCCTCAGCTATCGACTTGTGAACACTTTCAAAGGTTTGGTGAACTGGAAAGAACGTATCCGGTCATGTGTGTCACCCTGTGGTGGACTGGTCTTCTCCGGCTCTGAGGACCGGTCTTTGTGCGTATGGGCTTCTGCAACAGGTAAGTCGGGTAGTACCAAATGGACTACACCACTGAGACTGTGCTCTGCATGGTACTACTGTCTGCGCACATCTAGGTAGCTAGGTAGAGAGACAGGTTTGTCGGGTAGTGCCAAGTGGACAACACTACTGAGAGTCTGTGCTCCGCGTGGTGACTAGTACTATCTACTCACATCTAGGTCGCTAGGTAGAGAGCAGTGCTATGTTCCTGACTTGAGTTTCTTGGCCTTGGATCCGCTGTGATACCCTTCCTGAAACTAAACACTATCACAGCTAGCATGCCGTTGAGTTATTTTGGATGTATACAGTCAATCTACTGGTATGTTATTGGATATTGTTAAACTGCAGTCACCCTGTTTATGTGACAGGTGCAATATCTCTGTTGTAAAAAAACAATGTTGCCGCTGTGAAATGACAAGTTACAACCTATTAGATAAACCTTATATGAAAAGTACATAATGCCCTCGTTTACTGATCATGTCTGCTGTTCTGTTGTATGCGTGATGACTGCCATCGCCAGGTCTTCCTGCACATCAATATGACTGTCTGTTTGTGAAGTCCACCGCTGTCGATGTAACCTACCATCCGTTTGAGCACATGATTGCTCTATGCACGCACACAGTCGATGAGCCAGTGCTGGTCTTCAAGCGAGATGCCGGCAGCACGCGCCCAGCCACCACTGTGACTGGTTCCAGTGCATCAGCATTGCAGCAGCAGCAATCTCTGATGGCGACGGTGAAAGGTGGCATGGGTAAGGCCAGAGGCATCAACTTGTCACGTACTTGCACTTTGAGATATATACTAAATGCTTTGAGAAGTACACCACAGCAAAGCACCTGGACACATCAATGAATTTATAGAAAAGAAAATAGGACCAAGAAACTACAAGTTACGCTATAATATCCACTAACACCACCAGTTACAAAACAATCAGGTCATGCGATAACATTGCACGACACCTACACGTCTTACACATCAATAAGTTGACACACACACCAACTTGATAAGTTAACATTTATTGACTCAACTCCCTCAACCTTATGCCGGAATACTTTTAATATGCACGTATTTTGTGCTGTGGTGTGCCTTTCAATGACTACGTCTATTCCTGAATGGCAGCGCACGTGAGGCTTGAAAAGCACAGGGCAATTTGTTTGACTACATGGATATGAACACCCGTAAGTGATTTTGTCAATCTGTTTGTGTGATTGCAGGCACCTCCATGCAGCTAGATTCTCGCACTACCACCGCTGCTGACACGACGCCTGGGCTGCAGTCTCTTCATCATAGCTCAACACGGACAGCAGCTCATAGCAAGAGGACTGCTAGAGTGGCCTCGCGCACCTTGGAACAGGTTCATCAAGCGGACAGCAGAGCAGATGCTGGCTCCACACTGCACACCGAAAGGTCACAGCCCCTGCTCGCCTCCACGGCTGGCCTCCGCAAGGGCGCCGGGTACATGCCCTCGTCACAAGCAAAGAAGACCGGTATGTCCTTTGGTGATGTGGCCACGCAGGGCATGCGACTTCAGAAACTTGCTGCAAAGCTGGATGCCGTTCTGAAGGTAAATACACATGCTGCTCTCATTTTCCAAAGGTGTTCTTGTTACCTGGGAGGTGTATAGTACATCAGTTTGACATGGGGGGGGGGGGGGTCATCTGTGAACGTACTTGTACTCCTGACTACAGCCATTATCACATACAATGTAGTGTACCATAATAGTGTTGTACTTGTTCGACAAATTGACAGTGCCCGTTACATCAACTGTGAGCAGCGGAGAGGTGCGGCAAGCGTTAAACAGAGCCTTCCAAAGTGACTCTCGCCTTAGCGTCTGTATATCGACCGTCTATCCGCCTGACGTCAACTTTTTAGTGGGTAGGGATTCTGACAATGTTATGGCTTGTTGCATTTTTGTATCATTTCCCCCCTCTATGGTGTTGCAGGAGAACAAGGCACTAGATAGCGAGCTGTCGGACACGACCAAAACAGTACGTCCACCACCAACGTTCACCGCTTCAACATCTGCCAATGCTAATATTGTAAGTGTATGAGAAACCCCCTCACGGTACCAGTAGCTGAGGAACATTGCCTCCAGTGGCGTATCCACTGAGCCCGCTAGTCTCTTGCAAGAAGTGCACTGTATATCTATGTGGCAAGCATGGCAGGCTCCTTGGACTTGATCATACCTCTGCTAATGATGAAAAGGAGGAACAACCCATGCAAGTGAGCCCATTGAGGCTCACGATGGAAACTGTACCCCACTGCTACAGATTATGCAGTCTTGAGATTAACAACATGCCTATTTCTGTTTTCTTCTCTCTGTTGGATAATGGTGCAACTTCAGCGGAACGTCAAAGCTCGGTTGGATGATTGGCGGATGCACGCAGGTACGAATCAGGGCGAGCCAGATAGCATGCTGGGTAAGCAGTGGTGTGGTGTGTCTTGAGTCTCCTGCTGCCTGGCCACGTGCGAGCTTTAACTATGTGCAAAGCCTTGTTGGTATGGTTTCTTACTACTACTACTAAGTTATTTGACTATTTGTGCTAGTGGCAGATGTGTATTTCTACTGGATTTCCTGTCTTTTGTTTCAGATGGTCAGTCATCTCTGGCTGCCTCCACATATCCGGGCGAGCAGACCCAAGCTTCCGGAACACTGGGCACCAGTGCACTATCATGGAACACAGTGTGGGATGGCTCGCCACTGCCCGCAGAGTCCAGTAGGTCCAGCAGGTCCAATAATGCCCCAATGACCAGCACCAGGAAGTCCAGGAAGGCACCGCCGGCCGGTCACGATTGGAAATCCTCGAAACAGTTGGTAAGGCGATCTGCTCTAATCAGTTTTCATGGTTGCACCCGAAGTCATCAGCTCTTACCTCCCAGTGCACCCGAAGTCATCAGCTCTTACCTCCCAGTGCACCCAAAGTCATCAGCTCTTACCTCCCAGCGCACCCGAAGTCATCAGCTCTTACCTCCCAGTGCACCCGAAGTCATCAGCTCTTACCTCCCAGTGCACCCGAAGTCATCAGCTCTTACCTCCCAGTGCACCCGAAGTCATCAGCTCTTACCTCCCAGTGCACCCGAAGTCATCAGCTCTTACCTCCCAGTGCACCCGAAGTCATCAGCTCTTACCTCCCAGTGCACCAATAGAACAGCACAACACAGCACTGGACTTGGTTGATGGTTTTTTCCACGATCAGCTAAGTGTGCTTAATTGAGGGAAGGAGTGTGCATGCGTGCACGTGCTGCAGACAGAATTGCATTCCTTCCCTTGTGACAAGCAGCAATACGGACATGGTGTTTTTTGTTTTGTTTTGTTTTTTTGCTTCTAGGTGATTACTATGTATGACTATGAGGCTGTGAAGGAGACGGAGCTGACTTTCGACACGGGAGAAGAGATGAGAATTCTTGTGCAGAGCAATGAGCACTGGTGGTACGCTGAGGCGCAGGATGGTCGCCGTGGTTACATTCCTGTCTCCTACGTGAAGGGGAAAGGTGAGAAAAGAGCGTGCACATAGTTCAGAAATGGGGATATCGGATAACCCTGAAGCTGTACTCAGTTTAACTGCTAGCCTACTGTAATGAATTATCTCTGTATGTGAGAAGTCCTACTAGAGTGCACAAAACTAGTTCTTTCCGAATACGGCTGTGGGTAACACATATAGTACACAAGGTCAGGGTACACAATTGTTCCTGGGTGAAATTGTGAAAGACATGCAGACTGCGTGGACAAATTATGGCTTGAAAGGACAGTTTCTGTGAGCAAACATATCCTCTACTACAGTGTCGATGTAGACTTGTGACATGCACTCGTAATGACTCGTGACATGCACTCATAATGACTCGTGACATGCACTCGTAATGACTCGTGACATGCACTCGTAATGACTCGTGACATGCACTCGTAATGACTCGTGACATGCACTCGTAATGACTCGTGAAACACCTTACGGGTCTGGTGCTGTTTTAGTTATGGTTCATCAGGAATTGTTTCTTCACTATCAGTACTGCTGAGAGGCCACTAGTATCCAGAACATTGCAGGATCTTGCCATGGCTCAGTGACAGCCAGAGACTTGCCACTTTTTCTCTCTCACACTCCCTTTCTGATTACCCTCAGTTCTTTTATTTTCTGTTTGACCGTCTTTGAAGTTGTACATTGTACTGTTGAGGCAATGAACTAAAATAAATCAAAAACAAGCAAGACAACAAAAACATTGTGATAGCTACTACGGGCATGCTGCTCTATTGGTCATGAGTCAATCATTTCGAAATGATAATTGTCTGCCCCTGCATGTAGTCGGCCAACAAGAACAGCATGCGAAGACTGATGATAGATTGCACACCACGTCCAGCCGGGATGGTGTGCAGAGTACCTTGTCGGACCGACCATCACCATCGCGTGGAGAATCCAGTAAGGGACCGCAATTGAATGAGATACTTGTATGGTTTGGTAGTGTCGTGGCCATTGGTATTCTGTGACAGAATCTATACCCACAGTGTCCTTCTCGTATCAGGCTTACCCTTGCATGCAATTTTCAGGCAAGTAGGGAATCTAGCCCTTGTCACAATTTGCTGCGCAATTTGCAATACCATAGTACTTCACCCTGTATGATGTGCTTATTGATCATGGTAGGAGTAGTTGACAGCCAGTATACAAACACTTTCCCCATCCTATCATCCACTTTGATTAGCCTTGTTAAAACACATAAGCTATCGCTGGCCTCGGACACGAGGCATGAGGGCCCAGTGTCAGGGCGAGAGCTAGCTAGCACAGCATTGACACTATGTGTGTATGCCTCATCATTGTTCATCACTGTCTATCCTTGCTCATCCTCAGTTGTTCATCACTTTCTTCTCACTGTTCGTCACCGTTCATTCTTCACTGTTCTCTTACCCTACAGGTATGCAGCAGCGCTCAATGTCACTTGATTCACGGACTAAACCTACAAAGTAGGACATTGTGACGACTGTGTCTGTTCTGCACTGCTTCTGTGATAACTATGTACATCATGAAGTGCTGAAGTTTTGGCATAGGTACTGCGTACAGTGTGCACCTTGCGCGCAGTGCAGCAATCTCTCCCCCATCTTTCTCTAATAGCTTCATTCACATTCTCATGTATTGTGTGTACAGGTTGAAGAAAAAGTATGGGCGCCGACCATCAACAACTGGTCGCCGCAGTGTGGTTCCCGGAGACGCTACTACGTAGGCAGCAGTTGTGTCGCTGAACATGTATGCTGTCCAGAGAAGCTGCCAGGTGCACCAACGCACGTTAGAACTCAGCGCGAGGTCCTGCCATGCATGCCTGGATAAGGATGGGGTAAGCCAGCACACGACTTGATAGTGGTGGGTACATGCAGACGTGTGTGGCAATTCAGTCGTATCTGGAGTATGCGAATCACCTGTCCTACACCCAATGCTGCGACATGGGACATGATCATCACATGCGCTGGTAGTGCATCATGAATTCATGATACCTTACTCCAAGTGCGGGTGCAAAGAGTAATGTTTCCCCAAGACTGGTGTGATAACAGACAGCGAGTGCAGTGCAGCAGCTACCACCATCATGGACGTAATATTAATTATTATTAATTTCAAGGTAAACAGTCAGGGGAAGTGAACAGCCTGAAAAGAGAAAAAATCGCCAGACCCACCAGGACTCGAACCCGGGACCTTGCTTGTCACAAGCATCGCTCTAACCACCGAGCTATGGGACGAGGCTGAACATAGAAGGCGCTGGCAAGTGTTTCCTTCCAAATGTAGCTCACAACACGTGCCACACATACTGATGGCCCAGTCAGTATGTGTGGCAGTATGTGTTGTGAGCTGCCTTTGGAGTGAAAAACTTGTCAGCGTCTTCTAGGTTCAGCCTGGTCCCATAACTCAGTGGTTAGAGCGATGCTCATGACAAGCAAGATCCCGGGTTTGAGTCCTGGTGGGTCTGGCGATTTTTTCTCTTTTCAGGCAGTTCACTTCCCCTGACTGTTTACCTTGAATTTGAAGTTTACCCCATTCCCATTTCAATTCTTACTTGTATTAATTTATTACTAATATGACCGGCGCCCTAGCCACTCTGCACAGGGACACACAACCGCATCGCACCATCCCGATTCCGGCTGATTGACTAGCATCAACATTCTACACAAATTTCTGATTCTCTTTTGAACGGTTTCCCGTGACATAGGCACTGCATGGCTGCAAGCAGTAGTGCTATCAAGTATCACAGGCTATGGATGAGGCTGCTGTGCTTGTACTAGTGGTGTCTGTGACTTCTTTGCACTAGCTAGTGAGACTGATGCTGCGCATGATATCTATGAAGAAACTCCACTTGATTTGCTGGCCTATTGCAGTCTGCCCACGACAAATTTGTGGAGCAGACTTTTTCCGCTCATCGCAAACATTTCGGTGTCAAGCACGGAGCAGTTGGCACCTGGCTTCTATCGCACACCTATTTGTATATGCATGGTTTGGCACGCCACTTGTACAATCCGTTTATAATGATGTTAGATGCTGTGCCCATACCACACTATTAGTAGTGCACGCGTGTTCGATTAAGCCTCGCATGTCACTCTTTGTTCCCGTATATGCGTTGACGTGCGCTTGGTGCCATGGATCGGACCATAATTATCCATACCATACCAGACCATAATTAATTATAACTAATTAGCTTGTGCAGATTACTGCATGCCACATACACTGTGTGTATCCTACGAGAATAGGGAGCCGGTTCCGGAGTACGATTTTTCGTGCCAAAATCCGTAGAGGCTCTACGGATTTTTTATACGTCGTTTTCGAGCAGTGAAATGTTCCGGAGTACGGAACTTATGTGTTTGCCGTCATTGCCTAGGTTACGATCGCAAACATGTCACGTTCCCGCGCTTTGCCTTTATACTTTGAATATTTGTACCGAAATCAAAACTTCCCGCGAAAAATCGATGTTTCTCGTACCAAATTTGTACGCGAAACATCTTTCTGCACCCGATGACCAAAATCTCCATACGAAACATGGTTCGTATGAAAGCCAGTCCACACGGATTCTCTGTGCCGAAAAAATCGTATGGAGCACCAGTGGAAAAATCCGTAGCGCCCATACGGATTTTGGCATGGAAAATCGGACCCCGGAACCTCTCTAATAATTATAACCATTGTAAAGCTTGGTCTTTCTCTGGACTAGTGGGTAGTTGATGTCATCTATTAGTATTACCATGTGACGTGCACTAGACCTGCTCTAGCCTATCTCTTGCATGCTGCCGCAGCTGCGGCATGGGGTTCCTACTTCAGGCACATGCGTATACCATTGCATCGATAACATACATCATAATGGATCACATACATGGACGTAATGGCATGTCATTGCATGATAAGTTTTTCATCATGCACCGACACACTCACTGGCTAGTAGACTTGTGTAGGCAATTAGCCAGTTTGACCCTGGTGGGGTGCAGAGTGGTTGCATGGGTTCGTCCTGCATGCATGTCTGGTAACGGGTGCATGATGTGCTGGTGCTTTGGGTAGGCTTTGTTCCTTCCCATCTCCCTTCCCTGCCCCTCCCCGCGCATCCCATGCAGAAGGGGAGAAAGTCTGCCCATCAGCGATGATCATGGGGCAATCATTTCTTTCAAAGTTCATCCTGCACTGACTAGAATCCAGTGTAAAGGTGAGAAGCTTGTCACGGATAGCGGCCACGGACAAGCAGGGAGCGAACATGCAGTGGCGACGAATCTGAGTTGTGTAAGGGGAGTCGTCAACTCGACAATGATGTCTACGGCCATACCACGTTGAAAATACCGGTTCTCGTCCGATCACCGAAGTCAAGCAACGTCGGGCGAGGTTAGTACTTGGATGGGTGACCGCCTGGGAATACCTCGTGCTGTAGACTTTTTCTTCTTCTTTTCTTTCGTCAAGTTTTTTTCTTCTTCTTCTCTCTACTTGAAAGTCACTAATCCGAGTTAGCTCTGGCGTGCATGGGTGGGTGGGTGATTCGGCGCTCGTGAGGGCCAGATTGTTTTATTTTTATTTTTAAATTTTGTTTGTTGGTTTTGAGCTTTGTTCCCTCCCGATGACCCCAGCCAGTGTGGTGGTGGAAAGGGCCAACACCTTTTTCATCATGCACCGACACACTCACTGGCTAGTAGACTTGTTGTTTGTTGTTGTTGTTTTTTATTTGAATTCGCAATACCAAACGGGCAATAAGCCCAATTACATGGAAGCGAATAAAAGAATGCTAAGAATGAGGCATTGGAGTGCATATTATTTCAAGTGGAAATACTGATCCTGGGAGGTACTACAAATAGGTACAATGAAAATCTGAAAAGGCCATGGTACTGTCGTTTACCATGCTGGAAGCAGCTACATGTAGAAGGAAAAACAACAAGAAAGTTTTTTTATATCATGTATTGGACAAACAGAACTAACAGGAGAAGACCATTCGTTATTATGCCTATACATACTGTCCGTGTGTGTGTGTGGGGGGGGGGGGCATGTGTAGGCAATTAGCCAGTTTGACCCTGGTGGGGTGCAGAGTGGTTGCATGGGTTCGTCCTGCATGCATGTCTGGTCACGGGTGCATGATGTGCTGGTGCTTTGGGTAGGCTTTGTTCCTTCCCATCTCCCTTCCCTGCCCCTCCCCGCGCATCCCATGCAGAAGGGGAGAAAGTCTGCCCATCAGCGATGATCATGGGGCAATCATTTCTTTCAAAGTTCATCCTGCACTGACTAGAATCCAGTTTGAAAGGTGAGAAGCTTGTCGCGGATAGCGGCCATGGACAAGGAGGGAGCGAACATGCAGTGGCGACGAATCTGAGTTGTGTAAGGGGAGTCGTCAACTCGACAATGATGTCTACGGCCATACCACGTTGAAAATACCGGTTCTCGTCCGATCACCGAAGTCAAGCAACGTCGGGCGAGGTTAGTACTTGGATGGGTGACCGCCTGGGAATACCTCGTGCTGTAGACTTTTTTTCTTCTTTTCTTTCATCAAGTTTTTTTCTTCTTCTTCTCTCTACTTGAAAGTCACTAATCCGAGTTAGCTCTGGCGTGCATGGGTGGGTGGGTGGTTCGGCGCTCGTGAGGGCCAGATTTAAATTTTAAATTTTGTTTGTTGGTTTTGAGCTTTGTTCCCTCCCGATGACCCCAGCCAGTGTGGTGGTGGAAAGGGCCAACACCTTTTTCATCATGCACCGACACACTCACAGGCTAGTAGACTTGTGTAGGCAATTAGCCAGTTTGACCCTGGTGGGGTGCAGAGTGGTTGCATGGGTTCGTCCTGCATGCATGTCTGGTCACGGGTGCATGATGTGCTGTTGCTTTGGGTAGGCTTTGTTCCTTCCCATCTCCCTTCCCTGCCCCTCCCCGCGCATCCCATGCAGAAGGGGAGAAAGTCTGCCCATCAGCGATGATCATGGGGCAATCATTTCTTTCAAAGTACATCCTGCACTGACTAGAATCCAGTTTGAAAGGTGAGAAGCTTGTCGCGGATAGCGGCCATGGACAAGGAGGGAGCGAACATGCAGTGGCGACGAATCTGAGTTGTGTAAGGGGAGTCGTCAACTCGACAATGATGTCTACGGCCATACCACGTTGAAAATACCGGTTCTCGTCCGATCACCGAAGTCAAGCAACGTCGGGCGAGGTTAGTACTTGGATGGGTGACCGCCTGGGAATACCTCGTGCTGTAGACTTTTTTTCTTCTTTTCTCTCATCAAGTCTTTTTCTTCTTCTCTCTACTTGAAAGTCACTAATCCGAGTTAGCTCTGGCTCGCATGGGTGGGTGGGTGGTTCGGCGCTCGTGAGGGCCAGATTGTAATTTTAAATTTTGTTTGTAGGTTTTGAGCTTTGTTCCCTCCCGATGACCCCAGCCAGTGTGGTGGTGGAAAGGGCCAACACCTTTTTCATCATGCACCGACACACTCACAGGCTAGTAGACTTGTGTAGGCAATAAGCCAGTTTGATCCTGGTGGGGTGCAGAGTGGTTGCATGGGTTCGTCCTGCATGCATGTCTGGTCACGGGTGCATGATGTGCTGGTGCTTTGGGTAGGCTTTGTTCCTTCCCATCTCCCTTCCCTGCCCCTCCCCGCGCATCCCATGCAGAAGGGGAGAAAGTCTGCCCATCAGCGATGATCATGGGGCAATCATTTCTTTCAAAGTTCATCCTGCACTGACTAGAATCCAGTTTGAAAGGTGAGAAGCTTGTCGCGGATAGCGGCCATGGACAAGGAGGGAGCGAACATGCAGTGGCGACGAATCTGAGTTGTGTAAGGGGAGTCGTCAACTCGACAATGATGTCTACGGCCATACCACGTTGAAAATACCGGTTCTCGTCCGATCACCGAAGTCAAGCAACGTCGGGCGAGGTTAGTACTTGGATGGGTGACCGCCTGGGAATACCTCGTGCTGTAGACATTTTTCTTCTTTTCTTTCATCAAGTTTTTTTCTTCTTCTTCTCTCTACTTGAAAGTCACTAATCCGAGTTAGCTCTGGCGTGCATGGGTAGGTGGGTGGTTCGGCGCTCGTGAGGGCCAGATTTAAATTTTAAATTTTGTTTGTTGGTTTTGAGCTTTGTTCCCTCCCGATGACCCCAGCCAGTGTGGTGGTTGAAAGGACCAACACCTTTTTCATCATG